GAGGTGCTCAATTTGAATTAGGATTTTGTTGACAGCTAAATAGATGGTCGTTTTCATTGAGAAAATAATGCGACAATGAAGTTATCAACGAAAATATTGACAAAATTGGACAACTAAAGGAAAACTCTAATGTCTTTGTGAAAGATACAACTTAAAATATCCAAATGAACTAAATAATTAAATGATGAGAACGAAACAAAAAAAGTTAAAGAAATTTTAAATTTCGAAACCTTATTGTACTAAAATATTTGCTAAATTATATTTTACATATATAAATAATTTTTTAAAATTCAATTATTTATATATTTTAATTTCAATTTATCAAATTATTTTCTTTAGAGTAAGTATATGTTTTAAAGTGATATATATATATATATATATATATATATATATATATATATATATATATATATGTGTGTGTGTGTGTGTGTATTTAAAAAAACTCTCCAAATCAATTATTCATCATGATTGTACTATTTATAAATAATTAGAACCATTTGTCTTATTCAAAATAACATTATCAACATTTGAATTTTGAACCATACAGATGTCATTTATATCTTATATCAACAAATAATGATATGGGAATTTAATCATATTTTTTAAAATAATAAATTAAAAAACAAATAATAACATTATTAGTTAGAATAGAGATGAATCAACTTTATAATAATATGATATACAAATATAACATAAATAAAAAAATTATCCTTTAATTATATTAGTGTATACTTGTTTAAAATTAAATTTAAATAATATATTGCTTTGAAAAAGTTAATTATATTTTTTTAGAGGCAAATTTTTTATTTTTTTTAAAAAATTATTTTAAAAAATGTTTAAAATTAATTTATCTGATATAATATTAAAATAAAATTATTAAACAATAGCTAATTATATCGTATATGATTTTATAGTAAGTACTAATTAATCAAAATATATATAAAGAGAGTGTTACTTTAAAATAATTATATTTAATATAATTATTTTAGTAATACAAAAGGATTGCGTCGTATGATATTTTTGTTCTAAACATAGTATTATTTAACAATAAGTAAATTATTAATTGATTTTTTTGAGTTATTCATTTAAGAATTACTAACATGAAAAGAGTTAAATTATTTAAAAAAAATACTTAGATACTGGTTTTTAACTCTGATTAATCCACATAAATAAATATTTATAATAAATGTTAGCATAGATGGTGAAGATCAAACTCTACTTTAAAATAGATAATAATTTATTCCCAAAAATATAAAGTTTGAGTGTGATATTAAAAAGTTATACATGTCTTAAAATCTTAAAACAGTAAATAGAAGTGTGTTTGAATTGAATTATTAAAAAGATGGGGATAAAAAGGACAAGGGTTGATATTTGTAGAGGCAAGTTCACATGATCTCTTATTTGCATCACTACTTTATCGTCTCTAACTTCCAATTTTATATTACTAAAATATTCCATCACTGTTTCCTTAAGATATTTCTGGAGTTAAGGTGGTTCTAAAAATTTGTAGAAGGAGTTGATAATTTTAAAATTTTAATTTGGTTCGTTTTATTTAATTAATTAATTCAATGATTTAACAACGACACTATATACATTTTGTTAATATTTAAAAAAATATATTAAAATAAAAATAAATATTATATGTATATATTATAAATATATTATAATATAAAATAAATTAATTTTATATTATTAATTATAACTAAATGTTTTAATATATAAATATAATAATTTTTTGATTTATCTCATAAAAATATTAATTATTAAATAAAAATTTAAAAACTATTTATATAATTAAATTTGTGTTTTCAAAATATACACATAAAAAATTATATATATAAAAAAATAATTTATAACCGATTTAATAATACGTCAACCTGTCAGATAAGTTATGATCTATAATTAATTATTTATGATCTATAATTTAATTATGACAGTTTGTTTTATTTTATTTTTTTAATTAATTATAAGACAAACTAAAATAAATTTGTTTCATTTTATTACCTTAATCTCTTGTTTAATTTTTTATATAATATAAATAAATATATAATCATAATTATTGAATAATTATCATCGAAAGTTCATTATTATACTTGTAATTATATATGTACATTTATAATAAAATATATAATTATTTATACTTACTTTTCTAATTTTGCAATTAACAACTTTAATTTTATATATTTTTTTAAAAGTACTATTTTTGTACTTTAAAAAGGTAGAAAGATAAAATCATATAAATACAATAAGAATCTAGAAGACAATGAAATTTTACTCCACCAATTGAGTTAAACTTCATATGGATCAAATTTTTTGTAGTTTAGAGTTCAAAATTGTAGTTGAGGATTAACTATTTAAAGTAAATAATTCATTGGATAATTTAAATTATTGAATGAGACAATCAATAGCTGATTACATGCACCTAATTATGAATGTGTTAGAAATTTAATTGTTAATTTTTCATTAATTATTTTTTAAAAGAATATTATGAATGATTGAAATTACTTCCAGTATTAGATTTATTACTTTATATGTCTTAAAAAAAATTAGCATGTTAATTCTTGTTTGTTATCAATAAAATAGTCCAAATTTAAGTTCCTGACATTTTAATGACTAATGAGTACAATTGAAGTTGGGTAAATACATCTGAAAAAAAAAACTCTTACGAAAGAAAAGTAGAAATGATAAGAAATAAATATAAAAAAAAAAACGTAGTAACTTTTTAAAAGTAAGCAACACGTATACTAAGAAATATTTAATTTTGAACTAATCAATGTAAAATACTAAACTAAATCGTATATATAAAAAAATACTTAAATTAAAAATATTAAATAACTTAAACTTTTTTTTGAAAAGGTATTTGCATATTCAAGGTATTTAAAGCTGGACTCACCCTGTAAAAGATATTTAAATTGGGAACAAGGAGGGCCACATGCCGGTATGGTGGATTATAAGCTGGACTCACCCTGTAAAAGATTTAGACCACAAAATTTAAATACAATAAAAACGTTACTCAATTTTTCTTTAATCAACTTTAAATTGTAAAGGTTAAAATATACTCTCTCTTTTTTCTTACATTTTAAAATTTTGTTTTGATATTTTGTCTTTGGTAAATATCCATTTTGATTCATTATGCGTACAACGATGTATAGCATTTTTTTTGTCATTTCAAATAAATGTAGAGACAGAAACTATTAGGGCGTTGTCACTCTAAACTTTGTTCCTATTTATGGTATTCTTTATTAATTTATTTTATGTTTGGTGAGTTACCTCTCATGTTGTATTATTATAGTTAATAAATGTTTGCTTAAAAATCTTGTAGTTTTGTGGTTAATGATATATATTTTAAAAGTGTGGTGCACTATATATATTTTTTAAGTTAAAATAATACTATATTGGTTATCTTTTAAGGATTATATGCTATAAAATTCATTATATTTAACATAAGCAAATATCTGAGTCAATGATGAACTAATTTAAAACTGATACTATGTTCAAATGATGAAAGTTTATGTAACCATTAAAAAAGTATAAGATAAAAAAAATAGTAATTAGTTATAAACTGAACAGCAATGCTTGGCAAAAGAAAATGGGGGTGTTACAAAACAAGACATTTGATACATTTGGTACCTAAACACATTCTTTTTATAAATTGTTCAGAGGTTAAAAGAAACTGGAAATTGGGTGCATTGTGGACTAGGCCTTCCCAACTTGTTTGTCTTTATTAATGTAGTTGGAGAAATTAAGGACGACTATGGCCCAAAACAAAGAATGGCCACGGATTTTGGGTGGTTCTGTGTCGGTGCTCCCCCAAAAAACTGCACTGAAACTAATTTCCTCTTTGGTTAGACTTTTTCCAAAAGGAAACAATGCGTTTTTAATTAGATGCTCACAAATTATTATAATGCTTTTTTTTTTTTCCTGAAAAACAAAAATAATAAAACTGTCCAAGCGTACACGTTAGTATATATGCTGAAAGATTTTAACGTTCATGGGTATTGCAGATGATGGTGAGGTTTTAAATGAGAATCCACCACATGTGTTATAGACTACAGGGAAACTTTAAATGGGAATCCATTTGGATCATAAATCACGTCATTAAAAAAATAGTTAAAACAGTTCAGAATCATTTTATCACTCACTTTCAATCATTTATTTTCATGCTACAAGTTATTTTCATACAAATTACAATTAATATAATTCATTTTCATTTGTTTGTAACATTTAGTTAAATTCACATACATTATTTATAATAATTAGTGTTCTTTTATTTCAATTAATCTTTATCATTTTATGCAATTACTTCAGATTTTATTTGCAATTTTTCTTCTTTAATTTCTTAAAATACTATTATAAAAAAATGGAAATGCTTAAATTTTACTTATATATTTTTAATCAAGATAATAAAATTATGATGATAATGAATATAAAATTTAATCCTTATAGCAATGAATTAAGCTTTTTTACTTGTTTTTGGTAAAAGTAGTGCAAATTAATTATTTTAACTAAATCTAAAAATTTCAAAGAAAAAGTATCTAAGTTGAAAGTTATATAATATTAACAAATTAAACAAAAAAATTGTAATCATATTAATTTTATTAAGATATTTGATTTATATTCTCATCAAAAACACATGGGAACCAGTGGAACGATCTATTTACACTTGCTTCTAAAAGAATTATGGTATGGATAAAATTGTGGAATACAACATACTCAACACATCCTGTAAAAGTTCAGATACTATGTCAAAGTTTGTCCTTTGCTAATTAAATTACAGAACAGAGGGGGCAAAACAATGAAAAGCAAAGGAAGAAAACTTATGGTACAACCATTACATACAAAAATCACCTGGCACTCACTGTATCCCCTCCTTAATTAATTACACAAACCTCCCCAAAACTCAATCTGTCAAACATGAAGGGTTTGGACCTTGGTGTTTTGTAAAAGTCACCACCATGTGGCTTACTCGTTATGAATTCTCATACAGCCTAAGCAAAGCCTCAATGACCGGATTTTCCTTTTGGTGAAAAGAATCTACTAAATCCCCGTGCATGTTTCTCAGGTGTAGTGGCAGAAGAAACTGAAGAAGAGGCCGACTTGGTAGGCCTGTGTTTTGGTTTTGATTTAGAATGCTGTACTGGGGATCTGGCTGGAAGGGTGGACTCGCTGTCTGAAGGGCTAAATAAGCTGTTGGAAAAATGTAAGGGGGACTCCGAACTCAATCTTTGCACAAAAGCAGAAGTAGTATTGTCCATATCCATCTGACCTAATTCTTGAAATTTTTTGCTATTGGTGGTGGGATCATCTTCTGTCAAGCCTTCATCCTTTGTATTTATCTTACTAGACTGTGAATCAATTGGCTCAGTTTGTGGACGTAGAGCATTTAACTGCTTGCCCAGAAGAAGTATGGTTTCCTGACACTCGGCTAGCTTTTCAGCAGCAGCAGTCAAATCTCTATCCTGCATTTATAATAGAAATCAATCACGCGTTTTAAGATACACACTTTGTGAATTTTTTAATCATCACGAGAGCCTATAATTTCCTAACTTAATCTTCTTTTAACATATTCTGCAACATGACATGCGTAATTCAACATGCTAATTCATATTCAACTTAATACTTTACTTCGTTCCGTTATTTTTCTTATTATATCTAATATTATTTATAATTTTAATTTGTTTCTGTTTAAAGTGATCAATAATACCGCTAAGTTATTTAATAGAAAAGTGCAACATGACCATACTTGATGTAACACTGACGTGCATATCACATCTATGGCCACATCGATGCTATGTAAAACTCTTGCATCAGGCAACTTATCGATATTGACAGGAAGAAATACATTGACTCACTTTAAAAGAAATAGACTAAATTAACACTGAAAATATTTATAGAACTAAATTGAAAATAATCAATAAATAGTGAGACGAAGTAAACTATTAAACTTGATATTCACAATGGAACCAGGGCCTTACATGCGAAGTCTTGTGATCATCATCAGCTACCAAGTACTCAATCCTGACATATAATAACACAAATCAGAATTTGAACCAGAAACACCGATTTCCATAAAATTAAATTTGACACCTGCTTTCCATAACATTTTCCAATTATGATAAACATAAAACAAATGCTGAAAATCTGTTATCAATGGACAGTAATTAGGATTGCAATGCATTATTTTAGTACTTGTACCCAGATATTAGATGATGCCTAACCTTTGTAACTGCTCTTGTAGATCCTTGCTCCTGGCCAAAGCAGCTGCATGAGCCTTCTTTTCATCTTGAAGTTCATTCTCCAGAGATTCTATCTTAATTTGCAGACGGTTCAGCTCAGTTTCCAACTCCTGGGCTCGTGTTTCAAGTGACTTATACGATTCTGCCATACACTTAAGCTGCGTCTCAGCTAAGCTGTTTGATTTTTGAGCAGAAGCCAATTGTGATTTAACTTCAGCTAGAAGTTGTTCAGTCTCTAGCAACTGAGACTTGGTCATTTCCAGAGTTTCAGTACAATTTGACAGATCAGTCACTACTTTTTCTTTCTCTAGTTTCAATTTTTCAAACTCTTGCATTGACAGTTTTTGTGATGCATCATCCACTTTATAGCCTGAGACCAAATTTCCATCATCGGGAACCTCAGGATTAGAACACGTATTAAGAATATGGGAACAGCCATTTTGATATCTTTCTCCAGGTGAATTGTCTTGCACTAACTTATTTTCAGGCAAAGCAATCTTATCTATGCAATCAGGACTGTTAGTTTCAGCTTCTGTGCCCTTGTAGCCAAGTACATTAAATCTGAACTCACTTGCTTTATCTAAAACATAGGACAAGTCAAGAACAAACTGTTGCAAACTTGCATTGTTGCTTAATAGATTATCAAATGTGACGGAGAACTCCTCAATCTTTTGCCTCATTTCATTTCCATCACAAGATATGTCATGAAATGTCATTGCTTCCTTGCCAAGGAATAATACAAAGTCATGAATTTGAGAAATTGCAACTTCCAGATCTGAAGTTATATGCACATATTGTTTGGGTTGCTGGGATGAAATGATTTCCTTTTCAAGGTTTAAGCCAGCATCTTCAGGATTATCCTTCCTGTCACATATAGCATCAGAAGGATGGGCATTCACCGAGTGGCTGATGGTAGTGTCATGCGAATCTTCAAGCACATGTTTAATATCCTCCACAATTTTCCCTATGTCAGCATCCTTGGCTAAGGACTCAAAAACCAGTAATATTCTTGATCGAAGTTCTGTTAATAACAAGCCACTAGCATCAGATTGAGGATCGGGTACTGACATCAAAGCATCAGAAGACACTTGATTTGGCAATGAATTTGAATTGCCAATCTTTTCAGCTAGACCTTCTTTGCCAGTTCCAACTTCTGATACATTATCAGTCCCAGTGTCAGTTGTCTTATTGTTTGAGGAAACTGAAACAGTGGCATCTACATTGGACTCATTTGACAGACGAGCCAACTTCTCCACCTCCAGAAAGTCATCCATTAGTTCCAACTTCTTAGAGACTTCAGATTTTCTCGATTCCTCAGTGCATTTTTCATTGGGCGATTGGGATATCCCAGAGACTATTGCTGTAGACCAAGATTCAGCACAGCTTACTGCATCGTCATTTCCATCTTCAGACATGGAGACAAAGCTTGGTGCGCTGCTTGCGTTTTGATTATATAAGCTTTCATGAGTTATCTGGACGATGGATTTTGGAGATCCTTTCAGCTGGTTCCTAGCCTGAGATTGGGCTTCCAAAATTTGAAGTTTGCTCACTGTTTTTGCGCACATACTCCTTGAGGCCTGCAACTCACTGTTACGTTTAGCCAAAGCTTCTTTCAGCATCTTTGTTTCTTCTTCCATTGCCAATAAACGCTCTGTAAGAAATTCATTATCCTTCTGGAATTTCTGCACATTCTCCAGGGAGAAATCAGGTAGTGGAGACAAATTAGGGGAAGGAGACTTCACAGGGGACTTCCTTAATCGGCTTTCTCCAAAATCTCGGCCAAGGCTTTCAACTTCTAGCTTCATCTGTGCAAGTGCAGCAGGACCTGGTAACTTTTTCCTCACAAGACCTCGTAATCGTTGGCACTCAGCCTCTAACTTAGCAATTTTTTTTACGCCCTCGATATGCTGCTTGTTAGCAGCTTCTGCAGACCTCATACTCATGTTTTTTTCTTCATTGCGAATTTCAAGCTCTTTGGAAACAACATGAAGTTCATATTTAAGTGAATTATTTTCCCTTTCACATGCTTCTATGTTGCCCTTGAGAATCTCAATTTCAGCCTCAGCACGAGCCTTTTCTTCACTGAATTTGATTAGCATGTTAGAGTGCTCCTGCAATGACCTTGACAGGGCCCCATTTTCAGCAGCAGACCTAAGAAGTTCCTGTTCAAAATTCACTATCTTTGCCTCGAGCTCCCCCTTAATCTTGTCTAATTGCTTGGTTTTTGAGAGAGCAACTTCCTGTATTTTCTGCTCATGTTCTTCCTTAAGGTTTCGTATTTGTCGCATACACTCTTTAAGAGCGCCATCTAAATGTGTTGCACGATCCTCAGCAGTGAGTTTCAAAAGAGTGACAGATTCTAGATGATTCTTCAATGCCAAAGCCTCAGCTTCAGCCTTTTCCCAGCCTGCAGTGTTTTAAAATAAATCAAGAATGATGAGAATCTATTCTACTTGATACAGCGTCAGCTACTTTAGCATGTATAAGATGGTAAACAAAATCATTAAGCATTTTACCAGATACAGCTTCTTCAGCTACTTTAGTATGTTGCTTTACCATGCTTTCCTTGGTATTGATCTCAGAATTTGCTGCGGACAGCTTTTCATTAATTTCCTTGACCTCATCCTCCAGTGTCTGAACTTTTTCCTCATATGTCTTCACTTGATCCTCCAAACTAGACAGATGTGAGTAGGATTCCACAGAGATTTGGATGTAGTTTGGTTTCTTCTTGTTATCCTGCTCACATAAGTGAATACAAAAATGAAAAAAACAGAAAAGACAAAAAAAAAAATTATTAACTAAAATCACATTTTCCAATCAACAAAAAAAAATAATAAGAGTTACTAATCAAGTTATCAATCCATGTTCTACTCCTAAAAACACACATACACACCAGAGAGTGAAGGCTATTGAATAATGTACAGAATGTGTACATGCTTGACGGCCTGCTAAGAATACGAAACTTGCGGAAGTTGGGAATAAAAATTAATAATTTAATTATTATCAATGAGACAAACATCCACAAAGCGGCAAAAACTATAGACATTAAAATTTGCTAAAACAGTCAGACTCAGACAAAAAATAAATAAAACAGAACTTAGTTGTTAAATAGAACTCAAGAAGGTGGGAAAACTTTCAAGACACAAGTTTTGCACATATTTGTTGTGCGAAAATGCCAACAAACAAATATACCTGGTTGTTGGAAGCATCGGAGGAATCCAATGCAGTAGCTGCTTTCTCAATCACGGCCTTCTCTGATGATTTTTTCTTCCAAGGCCAGCGCCGATCCATCGCAAACTACAAAAGCCAGGTAGCATAAAACACTTGGATTAGGTTTTTCACCACACAAACTTTTCAGACTACAACAGAAACAGACTGTGGTGCAAACTCGAAAATCAATTCCATCGCCATTCACGATAATTAGATTCCAATGACAACACACGATAATCAACCGGTAACACGAATCTTCCAGCAGGACTTTACATCTTAAAATTTCCAGTATCTTAATTAATTAGGGAAAGAATATATATATATATATATATATATATATATATATATATATATATATATATATATATATATAGGTATAAAAAGAAAAAAAACTACCTTGGGATGCAACTTAATGACTATGCATTGTAGCGTAGTTCATATTTAAATGTAATTGTGGGTGGTAACAAATTGAATTGAAGCAAGGCTTTGGATGGGGATAGAAGGAAATTACTAAATTGTTGAAAGGCATTGAAGCAGCATGGTACTGCTTCTGCGTGTGGTGGAGTGGGAGTGATGGAAATGAAGTGTTATTTATGTAACGGTGATTTCCAAGATCTAACAAAACCAACAACCGCACTTGCTAATGTGGAGGTGCGCGCATGCTATAACCGTATACCAAAATTATCAAAAGCCACATAATATTCTTTTCTCTCCCCTGCACTCCACTCACTGCTCAAACTTGAGAGTAAAGCAAGTTAGTGGGCTTTTTCATTTATATTCTTCAAAAGATAAAAGTGAGCTTTCGTAATGATTGTTTATCATGCCTAACCGTCTTTATCGCTCAAATTAGATCCCAATTAATCCAAATCAGGTATCACAGATTAGCACCATTACAATTAACCTGGCAAAATTATTCAATGTGTTAAGTAATCAAACTAATGTTTCTAATTTCTAAAAACAGCAACAATTGGAACTGCACGGAACAGAACCTCACCGACAATTTAAAGGAAAAATGAAAAAAGCTACAGATAAAGTTCTCCCTCCATGACCAAATATATGAAAAAAAAAATTAAAAATAAATAATCATTTGTAACGTGCAGTACACAGTGCAGTTTCGCTGAAACTGTCGCGAGTAGGAAGCCAGCGAGCGCAAAAAACGTGAATGATAAAGTAGCGAAGAAAATGTGAGTAAAATAAACTTACAAAAAATGGAAGCGAAGATAATGTGAGGCGAGAGGAGTAGCTGAAGCAACAATGGTGTTTAGAGATTGACAAATGAGAAGTGGAGAATAAGAAACTCCGATTAAAATCGGAGACGGTGAGGGTGGTGGTGGTGGCGGTGGTGAGGTGTTTCTGTGTTCCTAAGATATTCGGATAGTTTGTGTCTCTTGAAACTTAAAAGCAGGGTGTTGAAGGAGACAGAGAAGCAATTTTGTTTAAAAAAAATTGTTTGAGGTAATTAGAATAAATATATTAAATAAAATAGTGGTGTATTGTTGTTGTGCAATCTTGATTAACGCGTAAGAGAAAACAACTGTTTTTTTATTTTTTTCTTTTGAAGCAAAGTGAAGATAAAAAAAGGTGGGGTGGATTGACGTAATTGACCCTCTGGGATGCTTAGAATGGTTTGTGTCAGACGCAAGCAAGCATCTGAATTGTGAGCTGTATCCGATTTTGGTAAAGGAAAGTGGTGGCATTGGTTATCTTTTACTTTTGGATTCCTAAGTGAGTGAATGATAATGGTTTAAGAGGGAATAGTTATTATTTATTTTTAATATATGTGTATTTAATTGAAGTTGCGTTAGAGAAGATGTGTGATTGTTACGGAGGAGTTTGGACCACAGTGACTCACTGGCATTCTACACTGTACAGCTCACAAATTTGGTGTGTAGCTACGCCATGGCTTTGTTGGAGGCTTTCTAAGTGCATGCCCACTGCTTACTTCCCATTGCATCAAGTCAAGTCATTTCCATGTTATCAATACAACACCCGTTACTTCTACTCTCCTACTCATCCTCTTTTATATGATTGGACTGCAATTTTCACTTAGATGTACACTTTTCACAATTTTTGCCCATCTTCTAATTATAGGTCATCTTCAAAAATTCATCGGAAAATTTAACCTCGGCTTGAGATGTGGTTACATTTTGAGAGCTATGTCAAGACAACCGTTAATCCTCATCTCTCAAGCTATTTACAAATTATCATCGTTATTTATTATTACAATATTACCCCAATCTTTCTACCCTTGAAATTAGGTCAATCTTGAAGCTCAACAACATCCACCCAACTCAAGCGATCAAACCAAAATATCAGGCCAAATCCCACAAAGCACGTCAAAATTTCCATCATGAAGGTTTATCAAAACAAAATTATTTTATGTAAAAAAAGTCCTCCCTCAAACCTCATTCATTCATGTCATGCAGATAACTTTTTCCATTGGATAGTTTGATTTCTTTTCTTACATCTTATTTATAATGCTATGAGAATTATAAATATTTTATTCTGGATAATATATGTCGAGTAATTAAAAATATATATTTATCAATAAGATACAATTTTTTCCCGTAATATTTTAAGACTATTGATTTTGAAAAGAGTTAAACGAAAAAATATTTAATAAATCAAATTATACACAATAATATAATATTTATTTTAACCTAAAATCTTAAAAATTTAGATTTGTAAATATCGCAAAAAATTATCATTCAAATAGTAAAAAATAATATCTAAAGAAACAAAAGTGTTAACTTTGAAGCATATAAGTGTTAAGCACAGAGAGTTAAAAAGAATAAAATGCTGTACATGGGAACTCTCTCACCAGCCTTCAATACTCTTAAAGTTTGACCACTATTTATTGTGTACAGTATATTTATTATAGGGTTTGTTTATTTTTCTACATTGTTGAAAAAATAGAAAAAAAAACTAGTATAGGTATGATCTGATAAAGTTATAGATCATAAATATTTAATTTCAAAGAAATTGATCGATGAAATACGATATAATCTCACGTTTATGATAGTTTCTTGTTCTTATTTGTCTGCTTAGAGTAAAATAAATATCAAAGAAGTTCTTGAAAACCACCTGATTTAATACGGATTAGAACATCATTTACATTTTTTTTAATATTATATCTATCTCTTGCAAAATAACCGGAGTTTTTTAACTTAAAAATGAAAAAAAAAAAAAAACACAAATGGAATGTTCTCCGCTTTATTACAAAATATTATTTATTTTTTTCGTATTTTTCTTAATAAAAAATTTGATATTTGTATTTACGACGTATAAAAATTATGAATCAGTTTATTTGAAACAAGGTGAAAAGTAATCGGGATGAAAAACTTTTTGCGATAATTTTTAAATAAGGTGAGTGTTCCTTCTCAATTTACGAGTATGGTGAAAGTAAAAGTATAAACATTCCAGAAGGAATAAATCACCTAGCCCTTAGATCAATTATTGCGAAACTACTTTGGTTTTGATCAATGTTCTTCTTATATTCGATCTACGAGTATGCAATTATGTGACCAATGGCAAAGATAAACATGATAAAATTAACCTCATTAGATTATAGCGACTAAACTATGCAAATATAAAATATTTATCATGAAAATTATAAAAAAAAGTCAATATAATAATTTTTTATTATGTCCAATAAAATATGTCAATTTCTATTACAATCCTTATATTAAGGTTAAATACATTATTATAAGCTGACAATTTCGCCTCAAACACTCTTCTTTATTGCAAACGTGTGTAATAAGACAATCCTTATTTATTTCTTTGATATTACAAAACTTAATAATAATAATAATAATAATAATAATAATAATAATAATAATATTATTATTATTATTATTATTATTATTATTATTATTATTGTTATTAAAGAATAAGTGTTTTTAAGTTAAGCGCCGCAACTTCACCACCTGATGTGGCAGTCAGAGTCCTGATATGCCATCTGATATATTTTCTGGTCATGTTCTATTTTTTAATACTCCTATTTCTTTTTAAATATAGTTTAAATTTTTTTATGATAAAAAAATTATAATAATTTTTATTAGTTTTAATGAAATAATTATAAAGTTTTATATTTTACTCTTATTTATGTTATATTAAAATAAATGCATATATAAATTAATAAATATTAAGTAAAAAAATATTTTAACATTATCTTGAATTTGAAAAATAACAGTTAAATAAAAAAATTCCAATTTATTCAATAAATGTGACTAATTTTTTATTTAAATTTAGATGAAATATATAATTATTATTTTTTGTTATAGAGTATACTCATCTCGAAATAAAATAATATCTTAAATTAAGATTGTATATTTGCTCTGATGTAAGATCTCTTGGTGAGGATGAGAGTTAATTTAGAATCAGAACATAATAATATACATGTGTTAATTCAAGTATGATCAAGATCATAGTTTTGGATCGTCTAGATTATATATATATATATTGGAAGTGATCATGTCTAAATTTTCTATTCATGGTTCTTAGTCCATATCATGAAAAAATATGGTGTGGACTTTTCTTAAAAGAGACGTTAAATTTGGATTTAGGGTAGATAATATTCGGTCAACGTTAGATTAAGAAAAATAATTAGTGATAATGTAGTGCCAAAGAAGTAATAGAAAAATTGAAATTGAAAATGGAAGTTAAAACCTTAATTAAGAGATTAAAGTGTGGAATAATTTATACCAACGCATTCTTAGCACCTACAACTACAGGGTCTGAATCAACCTTTAGCTAAGCTAGGTTTCTCGGGCATAAATTCCTACTCATGGCAAAAGCAATAGAGCAGTGAGTGGTGGTGGAACAAAGAGAGAGGGGATCCAATGACTAAAGTTCAAACTTGAGAGTTCAGTCAGAATAAGGTTGAAAATAAATGTTGTCCCCACCTACCCACTCGTGATGGTTTTTGGATACAGTAATGTGATATTATATTTTGTTATACCAGTATTTTTTTTTTTTAATTATCATGATAGCTTATAAAAATGATAACACGAAAAGTAAAATTTTTAATATTTTATAAATGTAAAAAAAGAACTAATTAACCCTGTTTTATTAAATAATAAGATTCACGTGAAAAAGAAATTACACTATTCCTTCAAATTTGGCCATCAAAAGTATGGGACCACGTTGGGCTTTCCGGGTTGCAATTTCAAGACCTGCAAGAATGGAATCAAAAGTTACTTTAATCATAACTTTTACATAAATTTCATTATAACATGTTATTTTTTATTTTATGTAACTTAAATATTTTCCTAGTGGCGGTTAAGCTTTAATATTTTGTTTGACTTGAAAGGGAGAAGAAAATAGAAAGAAATTATATGTACGAGCATAAAAAGGTAAAAATTAAAGATGATTGATGTCATTAAATTACGTAAAAGAAAAATGAAGAGAAAGATTTTAAGTTTTGCTCCACCCTCATCCCTCTTCCTTTCACAGTGAGAAAAAAAAAATAATAACGAGTTTCCAAAATAAGACTAAATCAGCCAAAATCTGAATTATGGTGAATTGATTCTTCAAATCTGAATTGCTACGTGTGAAGCAAAGTTGGATGCAATGAATTCGTGTGTGTCTTAGTATTAGTGTGCATGATTTTGACTTTTAACTTCTCAGAGTCATTTTCTTGAGCTTTCTTCCATTGACATGCCATCTAGCTTATTGGTGCAGTGATGTAAAGTCCCTTCCCTACTATATATTATGTGCTCCAAAGTCGTAATCTCTCTCCAAACTTTTTCTTTGTTAATGGCGTTCTCTAAAATTTCGTAATTCCTTCTTTGTCTCTTTAAACAAAATGGTTGGCTTTATTTGTGTTATTGTTAAATTGAACAAATCGATGGAAAGTGATTCACCAAAAAAATTTTGACGAGAGGTGGAAAAACTTATTAAGAAGCAAAGGCTTGAAATGGTGTCACCACGCATAGAAAAGCAAAAGGGCGTGGTGAAATAAACGAGCTAACAACCTGATTAGAGGTGTAATTGTTATCCATTGAAACAATAATCAAACACATTTTGTCCAAATCAAGGACCTTTCTCATCATGAAAGTAAACAAATATTACTTTTAATTACATAGAACGGAACAAAAGCAATCTTGTGATTCTTATCTTCTTCGTACATTTGTCTGCAATCAGAAGGGTGACCATGTGTGGGTCATGGGCGATGGGTCCTAAATCCCAACCCCAGAGGGACTCAAATTCGATAATTTCTTATTATGAATTTCTCCATTTCTCTTCATGTTGCTTTTGGCTTACGTTCTTTGTCTTTTATAATCATTTTTAGTACTGATTAGAGATACAAACAATACGAGATAAGAGGGTTCTCCAAAACACCCAAAATAATTCCAAGACATCAACATCATCTACACAGCAAACTAATCATAACGTAATTACTTACTACAATCATTAGGATTACGAGTTGGATTCTCCATAGATTGAGACATTCCAATTAATAAGAAACTACTTGCAGCTCCACCAATGATTTTAATTATATATGTATGTACAAACTTTAAAATATCATGTAACAAACAATTAGTTAACTTCGATTAATTAAGTGGGATACTAGTTTTATTAAATATTTAATCTAGGGTTCAATCTCAGTAATTGTACCTACCAAAGAATATTCAGTAGGAGAAGTCAACTTCTTAAATAGATTTTAGCGTCTTAAAAAAATAATTATTGACTAATAAAATTGTTTAAAGAAAAAAAAGTATTTAACTATTTTTCCTGTTATCATATGATAAGTGTAGGTATTCACTAATTTTAGAGTTGATAGTTGATTTTCTTTGTCACTTTCCACGAGCTCTTCCTTCCCAATTATACTTTTTCAACTAAAAAAATCATATTTCACACATTACTTAATATATTCAAATCCAAATGTACTCAATTAAAACGTTTAATTTAAATTTACTTTTTTAATTATTTATGAAATTATTAATCAATCAATTGAAATTGATTTTAATAGTTATAAAATATTTTTATTCTTAAGATTTTTAAAATTATTAAATTATAAAAACTTGTATCCCAAAAAGTTAAAGATAAAATTTGTGTCACATTTAACCCTTTTTCATTAAAATTTTCATTTTCATTTTAATTAGTTCATTATAATCGTGAAATATTTTATTCTTATATATTTTTTAATTATTTGTAAGGTTACCATTATCTTTAAATTATTAAAAAAATATGTACATAATTTCGTAATATTTTGCAATTTATTTCCTATACAAACTCGAATTTAAAAGAAGAAGGCATAAGCCTAAGTATGTTGGAACCCAAATACAGAAAGCAGACAGCATACCCACAAGACTTTTATCGGGTGCAAAAAGAAATACCTGGAAAAAGGTACAAAAGGGCCAAGCCCAGTATCTCCGAATAAGAGATTCATAATAACAGCTCCAAACTAATAAAAAATGGGCCAACCCGAGTGTCAGTCCAGGCGGCCCAACATCACTCAAGCAAAAATGTGAGCAAAAAAAATGATTGAAAAATTCGTATATATTACTAATTTTTTGCTACATGAGATAATTTTGATTTATTTTTGTATTTTCAATCCGTTAAATAGAAAGTGTTAAAAACAAATATTATGATAATTGGTCTAACCTAGGTAGGTTTGAAGCTAAAACGAAAAGATATAGCAATAGTGATTTGTTGTTGAATTGTGAAGAGTGTAGTATCCTATGGGGAGGTCTACCCTTATTGGATTTAGTCCATGTCTACTAATAGGTTTTCAAGTTTTGCAATTAAACCATTGAAAACATGGCTCCTCAATTCACAAACTCCGTTATCAGTCCAATCATCTCAAAATTTCCCACCAGGATTCAACGCTTTAAATGCCTCTCATCTCATATGTTTATTAGTATTTTAAGACAACCTTTACCTTAATCGGTTAAAATTAAACATAAGAGATATGGTCTGTTATTTAACTCAAATACATGTTTATTTTACAGAATTCGTTGTTAATTTTTTGCGAACCATGCTCACACACTAAACGTTATATATCCAGGAAAAAGTTGTTTACCGCATCATATTTACACGCAAGTTAAAAAAAAAAAAAAAAAGGTTTAAAGTCTAAACTAAGTAACTTGCAGGAACAAATTACTGTAATTGATGATGTGGCAAGCACATGTGATTAGGAACAAATGTTCATCTTTTCTTCTGCTTTAGTTCCCACATCACGTAACCCATTTTCTTAAGACAGCCTAGTCCAGTCATATTCTATGTTCATACCAATTTTTAATTCGGTTTTTATGCGTGGTTCTCCTGTGAGAATTTAAATTTCATCACACTCGTTCACGTAATAAAAGTTTATATTAATAATAAATAGTCGATATCCATAAACTTTTATTTCTAATTAAAAATAACATAAAACACCTAATTGTTAATTTTGTTATCAGCAAAAATATAAGTATCAAATGTATGTCCACATTAAAAAATTAATAAATTATGATAAGTCATCAGTACATGACGAATAAACTTAATATTTCAAAGAGTTTTTATTTTATTTTAATTTTAACTTTTTCTTTATTTTTTATCCGTGACTTCGATGTCTTTATTTTCTTTGTAAATTGCATCTTCACATTTTAGAATTTTTTTATTTTAATCAAATTATCAAATATTTTTTGTTTAGTTGAATATTATTCTGATATATTTATTTAAAGTACCATAAGAAATTATTATTATTATATATATATATATATATATATATATAACGTAAATAAAATTGAGAATTTAACCAAAAAATTATAAGAAAAGAGAGGTAAAAATTCTGGATCAATAATTGAAGAGAAAAGAAAAATTGTTATGTAGTCCAAAAGTTTAATATATAGTGGGTTCCTGAACAATATAAAAACATATAATTATAAAATATAAATCAAATGAGTGTCCATATGGATCACTTTATTAATTTAGTTATAGATTATTTAAACTTACAAGACCTGTACTGCAGCACTGACGTAAGAATTGGGACAAACACAGTGGAATGCAATCTTCAGAACAGTCAAAGACTCATCTACCATCATTTAGGTTGTTCATGCCCATCATGGTTAAACATTTTACAGTTGAAGATGACGATGAGTAAGATAAGAGGAATGATAATTAAACGTGTAGTTTGAGGCTAAGGTGATTGCTTTTTCCTTCACGTGGGTTGATGCTATGCTATTCATAACTTCCATCTGCTCTCACTTTCTATGATTGCATCGTGCTCACAAGCAAACACATGGATAATCTATAATAATTGAGCGCGGTGAAATGTCAAAATTCCTTTACAATTCAATTTCCATTAATTATTACTCCCAGCCAAGATAATAATAATAGTTGTAGTAATTTACAAAAGAGTAAAAATATAGAGCATGAAAAAGCATTATCGGAACCCGGGACGACTGGGTGAACCATTGTGGCACCCCTTTGCCATCTCCTCAGCATTCTCCGGTGGATTGCATTGCAACAATAATTGTTGTTGTTGTTGTTGTTGTTGTTGTGTGGTGTAGTGAATGTTTGATTTGAGAAATAGAGGAATTGAGAAGTAGAAAAGGTCCCCTATTCTTAATGTGATGGTTTTAGTTCAGTGGAGTAGAGGTCGAGATTCGAGGCAGAAATCGAGGTTGTTTCGGAGAGGGAGGTGGCAGTCGTCGAAGCGGGTGGAGTGAGGAGGGTCGGAGCGTGAAATGAAGCGGAGGAGTTGTTCGAAGAGTGCTTCGTCGCAGGGAATGGCGAGAGGACCGTGGTTGGAGAACCCGTACTCTTCCTCCGCCTCAACTAGTAGCTTCTTGAAGACAGGGTGGTTCAGGTAAGTGGCGAGCACCACAAATCTCCTGGAGTTACTGCCCACGCACACCGCCACGTGTCCCGCCGGCACATCGGAGGGTACTCGGTGGGCCGACATGCGGGCCTTGGTTCGCCAGCGCCGCAGCATTTGGCGGAGCCTGACGATGTGGCGGATTCTGGTGCATTTTGAGAGTCCTCCTGCTGACATCGAGATCGACATTTTCCCCTCTCTTTTTAAGGGTCTGTTTGGTGCGAGAATGAAAAAAGAGGAGTGAGAGTGGGGGATTGGCAAAGAGGGTGGTGGGTTTTCTTTTATAACGGCAAGTCAGAGACTCTGCCCTTCCTCTTTCTCATAATTACCGAACAAATGCCTGCTGTTTTTGTAGCATATTCAAGCCACTCTTTTCCTCACCATAACCCATCCTTGTCAGATACCCAATTTTTTAATCCACTTTTTTTCTTTTAAGAACTTTTCCTAACATATCAAACTATAGTGTTTTACATATTCAACATTTTAAAAAACCATGATCATAAAGATACCCGTGGGATGTTCTTCGGAGCTGAGCGGCCGAAGTTTTATAACTTCCATGTAATTTATGATTTTGGTCTCAAACATAATGAGCGATTTAATATATTTACTTGTATATTTACAATTTTATCTTCCAATTCTCCTCGGTTTGTAAGCTACTCATATAATTTATGATTTGGTTTCACTCAAACTTAATGATCATTTAATATATTTAAGTATATATTTACAATTTTATCTTTTCAACTTTTCATATTCTTTTTTTTTTATTATTTATTAATAATATATTATTTGGCTCCCAAAATCAGTTGATCAAGATCCGTCACTGAATACATCACTGTTGTCTTTCAAGAAAATACTTATCTCATTCTTTAAATGTTTACGAAATTGAATTTTGAACATTTTATTTTTTTTATAAAAGAAACAAGCCTAGGAAATCGACGAGGTAAAATGTAAAGAAACAGCGGTCAAACACAAAAATGTGTTGTGTGGATCGATGCCAAAAATTGTTTGATAGAGTGGAAGGCAAAATCATGACACCCTGTTTCAGGAACTTGAGCTTGTAGCCTATAGATAGGTGTGTCACAAAATCTTTGTGCTCCTTCTTGTTTATTAAAATGGGGTAAATTTTTTATATTACTTAAACAAAACATTCTCTTAAAAAAAATTATTAGAATATGTACTTTGGATTGTTATAAATCGCCTTAAAACTTCATGACAATGAAAAACTGGTGAAATCATCATTTTACAAACAAAAGTCAACTCTAAGAAATCCGAGTTAAAATATTTTTGTAATTTTAATAAAACACATTATTCTTTAATCTTAAAATGAAACAGAGGCATTTATAAAAGAAGGGTCTTGGAACATTTCCAACTTTGAAGAGAATATTTAAAAAATTGGAAAGGAGGGAAAGATAAGGGAGTGTGGCTTAGGGTCCATGCTTTAGCATTGAGGTTAGAGTGACCCACTGAGAAAAGATGCTTTCTAGTTAAGCTGTGTATGAAAAGTGGTTTAAGATATTATTGTCAATAAAACAAGAAAATAATCTTTATATAGAAAACCCTCCCAGGAACCATTTTCCAATCTCCAAATCTGACTACACCCATGTGCAAAGATGCCCTATTCACCTTTCTTTATAATTCCCAAAAGAAACAGCCAAAAGCACCCTCCTAATTCCTCCACTTCCCATATTTCCAGCATCTTAACCCAATCACATTTGAACATCATCTTTTCTTAATTCACGATCATTACAACCATATAATGACCACACATGTCACTTAAGCCACCGTTGAGATTTAAATTTCCCAATTTCTTTGTTTTATTCATGTTCCTGAATAAACATATCAGAAGCAGCACAAAACTATGGTGCCTGCAGGAGAATAGAGTCAAGTGCGAAATTTTGCAGATTATGATTCATGGGTCCACTTGGCATGTTTTAGTATGGAGGGTGCATCCCCCCTGATTAAGTGTCTGGTTAGAATAATTTCAGCATGGAACCCCACTTGCTAGGATTTAAGGGTCATGCCATTTATTTGCGCTGTTCAATGTTTTATAACAAGACACATATCTTTGGCAAATCTCCAAATTAAGTTAAGAAACACATGAAGGAGCAACAATTTGAATAATGTCATTTAGTTTTTAGTTCACTACTCATGTTCTATATATCCCCCTACTTTGTTGTTTACCTTCTGGGCTTTCGTAAGTTTCATTTAATTGGTTGGTGATGAGACAAAAACTGTAGCAAGATTTGAAGAATATGTATGCTGGATTTCTCCAACCCCATCTCCTTGTTTACACATACTTTAATTACTCCTTTTGTTTTTGATGGTTCAATAAATGTGTCTTTTTAATCTTTATCGTTTAAAACAATTAATTTTAATCTTTTATATCAATCATTCTTAATCTTTGTTTAACAATCACTCCCACCTCATCAATTGACATCACTACCAATATTTCAATAAAATACAATATATTAAATAATAATAATAATAATTTTATAAAATTTAAATTTAGATTTTACTTAAAAAATGAAAGGTGAAAATTGCAATTTAGGACATACCCAAAGTTTTAGTAAAAATTTAAAATATTGAGTTGAGGTTACATAAACTTATCAAAGAAGACTGCTACTAATAATAAAGCCCATAAAACGTTTTAGCAGCAATGTTTAATTTTATTGATTAAGTCAACCATCAAACTGTTATTAAGATAATGTTAATTATTTTGGGTATATGTGTTGGTTTACAATGGGATCTATTAATTAATCTATCATTCTTCTAATATTCAACTCATTTCAAAACGTGACATTGAAAATTCTTTTTTCCAGAAATAATAAAATAATAATTTAATGAGTGAAACAATGTACCACATTATCTTTATTGATTTTTGAAAAAATAAAGTTCAAAGTATTAAAAAATCATCATGTTTATTATTGGTTTAGGACAGAATTGAAAGAATTTTCTAAAATAATTCATTAAAGATTTAAAATCATTTAGGATAAAAATAGTTGTCGATTAATACATTATTTATTTTGAAATAGATTATAAAATAACATGAGATAGGTCGAGTAAAGCAAGTATAAATGTTATATTTGTTAGATTGTACTGTAAGTTAAAATTTTCACTTGTTTTTTTAGGTTGAGATAAATTTAAAAACATCTTTAACCTGTTTTTGGACCATTGATTTTAATATTATATATATATATATATATATATATATATATATATATATATATATATATATATACATGATGAATTGTTGGTTTTGGTGATCAATTAATCGATTAAAATATTTATTGGAATGTATAAACTTCAAAAATACTTTATGTGGACATCAGAATAGTTATTTCAATCGGAAAGAGAAGAAAATAAAACAATTATTTAAAAAAAAATCTAATTTATGAGAGGAAAGAAAGGGTGTTTTGTATTATTTTTGTCTATAAAACATGTTTTCAAACTAATGAATTGAGTATTAAACGACTTGAATATTCATAATAAATAAGTGGCTAACTTGTTACACTTTTCCCTCAATTAATATTTTAATAAAAATATATAATAAGTTGTACGATTGAATTTATTAACCTGCATGATGTAACTCAATACATGCAACTTACCAATGCATGATGTCAACCAGAACTTGAGCTGGATCATATGGTTGGGTTAATATTTTAATGATTTTGAAATTGAAATATTTAAATTATCTCTTTTTATATGAAAGCATGCTTTGTTCAGGAGAAATAAGTTTTGTGCTACGTAAAGCATATATATATATATATATATATATATATATATATATATATGATAACTAGTGTTCTCTAGATGGCACATGCTAAACTATTTTATTTTACACAGTCATTAATTTATACTTTGGACTTACATTACATGTGCTTGGATTAATCACCTTAATTAACTACGACCTTCCCCCATATTTATTAATTGAAGTGTGTCTTTGAAACTAACAAAAACAAAACATAGGGAAAAGCTTCGGATTATGAGATGCGTAAAATCTTTTGTCAGAAAGCAGCCATTACGTTGCATGCACATGATTATAGAAGAAAACAGATATATAATTTACACATATAAAACAAATAAACAGATTATATTCTTCATTTTGAATCATATTTTAGTAATATATACTTTAATGTCTGAAGAGAGAACCATATGAGCAAACAATGGGTTCAAGCATGTTAATTAAGATGATTGTTAGCTAGTATGCGGGCTCTATCATGCATGTAATTCAACATCATACGTAGAATCTCACCTCTGTCGGGTGCTTTGGTCATTACAAACAAAGAAATACAATGCCATGATAGAGAGGAATGGACTGTGATTTGTCTTCACATGATTCAATCCCCAAGGGACCAACATTCATGGGAACAATGTTCTGTTTGTTGGTTGTGACAAGTGCATTACAATCTTTTTCACCTGAAGAAGTTCACCAGATGAATGTATAGGGGAATCAATGCCTGCGTGTTCTTTGGCTCATGGTTGTTTCTCAGACCGAGAGATATCATTGAACTATTTTTTTTTTCTTTTTTTTCAATATTTTCTTGTAACTCTAATCTTAGTCTACTTGCCGATTTTACTTTTTAAAGCTTGAATAATCTTCTTCATTAATATTCATGAAGAAAAAACTAAAACGACTATTTTCATAAACTAAAATTAATTATACACAATATTTTTCTAAAAGAAAACACTAAAATAAGATAGAAGAAAAAACATTTACATATAAGCTAAACTAGTTTTAACTTAGCGGCTTACAAATTAAATTTGACTGGAAAATAAAATAACGGCAAGTGTACATAAAATTTGTCCTTTAAAAACTATGTTAAATTAGATCCATTTGACTTGTATGTTTTATTTTTTAACATTTTGATTAGATGGCCCAGAGGCCCATTGCAGCGACTAGTATTTGCTCCGTCTAGAAGCTGCAATATATTTTGCTGACAACAGACCAAAAAAGGTACATACATGCAGATTCGAAAATTCAAACTTGGTCCCAGCTTGCTACATATTAGGATATTCTAAGCATCCAATTTTATGGTCAGATAACAACCAAGATGGCTTGGAATTGGTGAAGAGTAAATGAAGTAATAATTATATGAAGTAAATGCCGCAGACACAATTGGCTTTTGAAAATTCTAGGTTTGAACACCAATACATCCACTAAGAAAAAGGCAATCTCCAACCTAGAAATGAAATGAAAGAGACAGAAATACCAATTTCATGGAGTAACAACAATCCTACTAGCAAATAACTCATCACATGCATGCCTCAGACTTAATATTTTCAATAATGTGAGAAATTAAAAACGAGATTTGCGCATTGACTGCAGAACTTATACAGGTAATGAATTTGTACTTGTTAACTTCATATCACAAAATCAAGACTTGGTGTTAACTTCATAACTTTCAAAAATGCAATTCACTTATCGTTTTCTAACAAGCTATCACGAACAAAATAGCTAGTAGTACCCGAATAATATACAAACAACTACTTAAAACAGTCATATTCATGCACTTATTTAGTCATCCATCCACACACGAATTGTGAGTGAAGCAGAGCCAGCAGAAGCAAGAACATTATTGTTTCATCGTGTCATCTTGTTGTATGAAGCTTTAAACTCTCACAGGCTTTTGAAGCACAGCTGATAACACAGCCAGTGACATCCCTGATCCAAGACTATCAACCTTTTCTCCCACAACCCACTTCAGCTTTTTGTACCCAAACCGTTCAATCAACCTAGTTAACACCCTTTTCTTCTCTTCATCAACACAGTAGAAGTTATCCAACCAAAACAAGCCACCAGCCCGCAAAGCACGATCAATATCAAACATAAAAAACTCCAACTTTTCTTGCCTTCCCCCACCATCCAAACCACTCGCAGCACGTACCAAATCAAACACATTGTCATAAAACGGGAACCTATGATCCAAACTCAGGAAAAGAGGGAAAAGTCCTCTGGCAGCAATGAATTCACTGAACGGAGCACCAACATTCAAAGTGGTAGTAACCACAGTAACATTCCTCTCAGCCATAACAGCACCAAAGGACCCAGACCCACCTCCAACATCAAGCCCTGTCCTAATTCCACCACTCCCCAAAGTTAACACATCATCAACTAGAAAATCATTCTTACTCCTAGACTTCACAAACCTCTGATTCTCATACCCATTAGCCAAATCAAAGCAACCAATGCAATCTCTACTCAACTTCTTACCCTTCAAACACTCAAAATTCTTGCAACCTAAACCACTCCAGTTAACAGTGTTGTTAACTGCAGGTTTCCAAAGCGAGGTGGGAAAAGGGTGTAGAAGACCCACCTTAGAAATAGTTTTAGCAAAACACCTTCTTCTCGGTAAAGGCTCACACCCTCTCAAAACGAGTTTCTGTGCCACACTCCAATCATTGGGGCAGGGTCCAGAAACCTTGTAACTCATGTACTGAGACAACAAGTCCGAGGATTTGTCGCAGGAGTGGCCCACAGATGAGACCATTTCGGTGATTCCGGTTTTGGAGTCTTTGCCCAGAGGAAGGTGGTGGCGGTGGAGAAAGAGTTTGAGTTCGTTGGCGATGTTGGGTCGGGAAAGGTCAATGCTTTCGTAGCCGAGGAGGTCTTTTTCTATCTGGGCAAGTTTTTTTTGCGACAAATCGATCTCTCGGAGAATGAGGGTGACCTGTTCGGAGATGAGGGATAAATTTTTGTGAAGAAGGTGGTGGGTCTGAAGGTCTTTTGGGGAAGAAGAGAAGGCATAGAGGGCGAAGAGGTTGGTGGTGACGACGGAGAAGATCATGAGAATGTTAACTGCGGAGGAACACACTGTTGCTCTTCTAAATCTAGCAGTTCCGTCGCCTATTTTCAGCGACACAGAACCCATCTTTTGGCTTGATTTCACAAAGGGAATTGGATGGTGAAGGACGCTAAAATGATTTGTGTAATAGAGGAGAGTTTGGAACGCGACATGGAGTGGAACGTTGTGTGTGTTGCTCGTTACATTACACGTGAACTCTTAATTTGTTCGCTTGCTGTGAGTCACTGATCATAGTGAGTGAACGTTAAAGGATGCACAGAAAAGCGCAGTGCTGTGCCTCTCATGAATTCAACGCTACTTCCTTCCACTTATCATTTTAGGCTCCTTGTTTTGTTACTGCCTCTTTTTAAGAAAAATGTCAAACATTACATCACAATCCAATATTTCGAATACATTCTTCTTTCTATTGTCTGAAATATTAAATAACATATTTTAACAGTACTCTTACTATTTTCTAACGATCTTTCTTAATTTTATAATTTTAAATATTTAATTAATAATAAAATGTATATTACAAAAATGTATTCATAAATATATTTTCTTTTTTTAATCATTAAGTAATCATTTATGACTCTTTTGAAATAAAATCTGGCTTATTATCTTCTCACTTATAGCTATGTGCATGATAAAACTACTTACAAATAGGAAAGTATCATTTTATAACCAATCAATTTTAAAAGGCCAAACTCTTATTTAGGTCAATCACTTAAAAAAACTCCAAATAGTTGGCAGGTATCTAAACCCAAATCACTAAAGTTTATCTCCGCTACTTCGTCTGTTCATAGCAACTAACCCACAATCTTTTAACATGCCCTCCATTGAATTCAAAATGCGAGAAACGTAATAAATTAGATGTTGAACAATCAAAACTGAGCATGTGAAATCTGAAGACAACAGCAATATTCAAATTTGAATAAAATCTTATTTGAGTCCATTAAAGATATACACTTTATCACCTTGTGAACTTATTTTAACAATTTGATAATCGGTTTACTATAATTTTAAACCTTTTCATCAACTCTTAGTCGCATCATCCAGCTTCTTTACTTTGATGAAGGAACCAAAATATTGAAAATATAAAATATGATAAATCAAATTAATAATATTTAATTATAAAGGACCATATAGATTACTACTGTATTGTTTAAGAACTAGGAATCTTAGTTTAAAACCAAAGCAAATTGATCCTTACTTTGAAAAATGACAGTATCACGATCAAAAGACCTCAATAAAGAGAAGCAGGCTTCAGACGGCGCTACAAAATTTTGAAAGTAAGAAAACAGTGTAAACAAGAGTACACTAACCCACCCACAATATCCACCAAATCAATTTTGGCTAAATACATTTGCACGTAGTCTCTTCAAAATAATAGCAAAACGGTTTCGTTCCAAAAAAAAATCCCAATTCATCCGTTTGGGACAGTGTTACACTTACTCGTGCGTAAGATTTTAAATACGGCACTCGTACCGCAGGAAAATCATAATTTATCATTAGCAGCCACAGCAATGAGCATAATATGAAACTTTGTAGCAGTTGGGCCAGAAAGCATTGCATGCAAACAGTTATTATCCTCTGAAATACAAGAACATATCTAGCCAAACTTCAAAGGTTTGTGCTTCTGCATGTTGTGCTTCAGAATCAGTAATCTGATGTCATTTGACAGCTTATATTCACGACATTTGAAGAGGCTAGAACATTCGCATAGAAACTGTAGGTGTAAACCAGAAGAAAGCAAAATGGAGGTATGACAAGATTACAGTTTCAAAATTCAGCGATTCCGGCACATCCATTATTATGGTAAACATATGCAATCATGTAGTCAATAATTCAGTGCTGAAATACAGTAAGACATGCAACATCAGCAGCAAAATAGATGCCATATCTCCTACCCGAAGGAAACAAGAGAAGCCAGACAATCGCCAGCAGTTACTAAGTTCAACAATTTTAGCTATTGCTTCTTTTCTTCTGCTTTCCTTGGCTGAAAGAAGGACATATAAAGCACACAAATTAATTACAATCTTCCCAGAGAGAAGGAGTATTGAAGACAGAATAAAAGTCATATTCAACACTAAATCAAATCGCTGAGTTATCATAATTCATAACATATAAACTGTAGTAGTACAGGCATATATAACTACATAGAAAAATCCAACAAACAACACTAGCAATGTATTTAGACAATGTTTGGATAAACATCCTGACAATCAGTTAAAGGAGAAGAGTATAAGGTAAAATAAATTGAGTTTTTCCAACATGTTAAAATTAAATTATGCATTTCAGTTTTGGAAAAGTTAAATGAGAAATTTCTGTAAAAGTTAAGTGCATAAGTTGATTTTAGTTTGTGGAAGAAGCTCAACTCATTTTATCTCTCAATTTTATTATTTTATTATAAATGATTGTGAATAAGTTTATCCAAACTGAATCTTACGATTTATCAATTTGAAACACAATTACTATAAAAAAGATTAAATCCATTGAATCACCCACAAAAATACCCACACATTGCCTTATAGCGCAACTCACGAAATATTCTCCACGTACTAGACCCTGCAACTTAGGGTGCTCACACCCATAACCGAAACTAACAAGCCTACAATCAATTTCGCTAACCACACATTATTTTAAAATCATCACTATTCTTCCATCTTCAAAATCATATAAAATTTCCATTTACTGGCATAACAAAACTCTACACGCCATCTTTTTGGTTGCCCACCCAGAATCAGGTACCAATCCCCGAAGTATGAGGATCCATGCAAATAATTGACCTCTTCTCATAGATGCTTTTACAGAACAGGGATCTGAGAATGGAACTCCTAATGCATAAAGGATATGTTGTCTGTTAAATATATCACCTACGTTTGCACTCTAAACACAATCCAAATTGTGAAGTATACACAATAAAATCAATTAACCTTTTCCACTTAAATTACTTAGGTGAAACAACATCACAGGCCCAACAAACAAAAATGAAATTGAGAAAATGGGAACGCACTTTGGTAGGGGGTGCAAATTGAGAAAGCTCCTCGTCGGGGATGATAACGGGCCAGGATTCCCCTGATTCACGGAACATCTGCTCCGTCTCGAGGTGTTGACCCTTTTCCAGAATCAAGTTTCTTATGCTCTGTGCTGGAGTAGCCGTCGCGTCGAACACTTCCTCCACGCCGTTCACGAACGTCACCGTTATCTGCGGCGCGCGCTCTTCCTTGCCGCGCTTCACCTCCACGACGCATGCCGGGTTCGACTCCTTCGCCTTCCGCGAGTTGCATTGAGCCAGAAACTCCATACACGACGCCGTACGCGGATCCAACGCGTTGAACTCGATTTTCACTCTCGACAGGAACTTCAACATTGTGCTAACCGAATCGGTGTCGGAAAATCCAAAACCAACGAGCGCCAGAAGTTTAATGAATATGGTGAAGAAAACGTTAAAGGAGAAACTGAGAAGTTCCTGCGACGACGGGTTTAGGGTTTCGTATTTCCAAATTTTGCTTTGCCCTTCTTCATAAGGGAATTTACTACATCTAGTTACTAATTACTGTAATTAATACAAAATATGATTTAATTTTTATTCTTTAGACTAAAATAAATTAGGTTATATGATTTAATATATATATATATATATAATGAAATTTATTTTTCATATAATTTTTAAATAACACTTTCTTCATGTTCTGAATAAGTGCTCTAGATTATTTCATTATAATTATTTTTTAATTTTTATATTTAAAACATTATTTTTTATTCAAACTTTAATTAATATAATATTTTTAAATAAAATAAGAAAAGTGAATAATGTCACTTTATAATATGATTTTTCTATGAAAATATAAGGATTGAGTTTTGATATAAAAAAGTATGGCGGAGTAGTTTGGGTAAAAGACTCACAGGAAAAGATGAGGATTTTGAGTTCTGAGATAGGGAGTGAGAGCAAGGAGTGTTTGAAGAAAATTTGAGATTTTGAAGGGAAAGTAAGTAACTGATTCAGTTGTTATGTTTTTGATATTTAGATAAAGTAAGTAGACTATACCTTTTGTTCATGTTTATTTTATTTTGTTCCCAATATTTACCTAGTATAATATGCTTACCAAATCTTTAAAGGATCTAACTTAGATAATCTATATTCTAACAATTCATTTAATTTTTACATTTTTTTCCCCGTTGATTCTACTATTTTACATCACTTATTATGAGCAATACTTGTATTATCATGTTGTTTATTATTACGTTTTTCGGGATAGGGTTGTCAAAAAAGTATTGTAAATAAAAAATATCATTATTCAAAGGCCTCTAAAAAGATTATTATAGAAGTAAGTCGACAAAAAAACTTATACAATCGCAAACTACTTTTATAAATAAAAATTAGCTGTGAACGCTCTCATATCAAGGGACAGAATAATTTAAACCCCTGACAAATAAATAGAGGACTTTCTGTCCCCTTACACTGTGTGGCCCTGGAAGAATTGGGTTCAGTTCAGAGCAATTGTCACAACTAATTCAGTGTTTAGTGAGAATCAAGAAAAAAATGATACAAAACGTATGCAAGGTTTCCTTGTACTTCATGAATATATGTAATGCACTGAACCAAATGTGTCCAAATTTTGTTTTCGCGATAATTGAGAAAGAAAAAGAAGCAAAATGAATGAAAAGTTTACGCAACCTTTCAACATTTTGACCTTTTCTTTATTAATCTTGAAGAAAATAATAAAAGTAAAGTTGAAAATATGTCTGATTGAAAATTAAAAACATTTTCCTTGAAAATGATTTTAACATAATGAAAAGTTGAAAAAAAAGAAAAAAAAGTTCCCATTATAACTAACGGATACGGACATTGGAAGTGTTAACAACGAGTTTCAATACAATACTGGTGTCATCCAGATGACCATAAACTTCTACCCAAACCCTAGTCAAAGTCATGACACTTTTTTAACGATAGGTACCGAATGGATGTAGTGTTGAGAGTGACAGTGGTGGAGGACGACACTTGAGCAGTGGTGCATCGAACAAGAAAATGAAAATAAATAGTAAAACCAAAGAAAATTTATAAATCTTAACAAATTGAAAATGAAAACAATAAATATAGAATACACGCATCATACATAAAAGTGAGCATTGCGTAAATGATTGATTATGTTTTTACGACATTTGTTGCTTGCTGCAATGTCTAGTCTAAAATTGGCTATTTCATGTCCACAATGAGCAAAAAAATTTGCATTTTCTCCATTATAGCCAGTAATAACGTCAAGGCAGATAGATAACTATATTGCCAGAATGTCAAGAAAAGAAAAGAAATATATAACATCCAGCTGGTGGTGCTTGCAATCAGTCTCCATCTAAAATTACAATCATTGAAAGATTGACCAAGAAAAGTAGTAATTTTGTCAGATTCTCAAAAAAGGGAAGAAAATGAAAAGGAGCCTTTCATTCAAAAATTATACATGTAGCATTTCAAACTAGTAGCAAACAAGGCTCACAATTGCTCATCAAAATAAAAGCTAACTTGATCACATAAAAAGCATATGAACCTGCATTCAGCCGTAACCATCAAATTGAACGGCAATAAACACCACCAGTCAACAGAATTCATTTAACTGCTAATCTCATGATCCATTTTCATCCTCTTTGAACTTTGTATCCCTGGCACGCTATTACCCCGAGGCTGAAACGATGCGTCATGCTGGTAGGCACAGTTAGCTCCATTTCGACATCCTCTAGAACTGTTGAAAAAGATACAAGGCTTCATTATCTTTGGTTTTGACACTTTACCTCTTTGATTGAATGGTGGCTCATAGTTTGTTACTGGCTGATGAATCTGACGTTTACTGGAGTATGGAACTGTTTCTTGTTTGTCTCCTCCATGTTGCTGAATTAAACTCTTATAGTAGTTAACATCTTTAGCAGCAGGGACCTCAACAGGAGAAGAAACAATAGTTGAACTGGCTGAAGGCCTAGGAGGCCATTGGGTAGAAACAGGTGCCACCTGACCTCCAGTAGATGGTGTATAGGAAGTGACGGCCGGAAAAGCAATCGGTGAAGGTGTAGCGGTTTCTCCTTGACTAATAGGCATAGGAGGATTTGAAAAAGCCGCAGAGGACGACCCCACATTATGTACATATTGTGAATTATTAGTAGCTCCATAATCTCTAACCAATTTCTCAATCACTTCTGGATTCTTGAGAATATTATTAAGTAAGCCATGGTCAATCAATTTTCCACGTTCATTGTTCTTCACAATGTTAGTTATAGCAACAGATGCAGCAGCTACATCAGATGGAAGACCACGAGCAAATTGCGTACTTGTAGCAGGGTTTGGATTCTTCAATATACCAGGAGGTAATTCAAGGGATTGTGAATCATCAAATGGTTCCAAGGAATCTGATAAAGCTTCTGGTGCTGCATCTTCATCTTCAATTGGCGTTATTGGTATCAAAGGAGTTTGCCCATCCATGTAATTGGAATCTTCAATATCCATTGAAACTGAAGGGCTGCACGCAGGGGGGAAAAAATCTTATACGACGAAATATGGATACCAAGAAAATTTATAGTACAGGGCTAAGAGAAGATACAAACTTTGGAGGAATGGAAGATATGCGAGGATAAATAGCTTCAAGTACTCTCATCTCTCTCTGACGTTGATCCTCTACCTCTATGCTTTCTTCCCCAGACACCACTTGCCATGTGTGATTTAGCGCAATCTGGGAGAATCACAAATTAACCAAGAAAGATGTAATAATTAAGACAAACTCATGGATTTCACCACTTTTTTTCTCTTACGTTTCTTTCACCTATTTTGAAATATAGATAATACTAAATATTACTGAAACAAATGCTTAATAGATGGCTTAATCTCAAAACTACCTTTGGAGGAGTAATCCACTTAATAACTGGTATTTGAGATGGCCTAATCTCAAAATGACTTGAAGAATGAGTTCCCTCAAATCCAGGAGGCAGAATGTCATCAGAACCTGGCCCGCCAGGAGGCAAATGCAATGATGCCTTTGCTTGGAGGTGATCTTGAGAATTTAACCCGACCTGTGAAGGGGATTCTTCTGATAAGAATAGCCTAACCTGTTCGATGAAAAGTATTAGTCTTTTCCTTTGGCACTCTTCTAACATTTATTCATAAATTCAATGATTGGGCAGAATATTCTTCAGTAACTAATTATTGATACTATCAACTCAACAAAACCTCAAGTAGGTGATTATTAAACGCAAATACATGAAGAATAAAGAAAATTAAATATATATGGTCATCCAACATCAGCTTATTGAGTACAAAACACAAACACAGAAAATTAAATACCACTCAAAATACTTAAAAAATAAATGCCCTCAGACTGAGATAATGATCACGTACACTTGTCACATCCCAAAAAATCAATATTAATCACTATAAACACAATCAAGCAATTGACAATGTAAACTGTTGTCACATAAAAACCAACTAGCTAAAATATTCTGATGAAACTAATAGATGCAGTAGCATTCAGAGTGTTGCAATCATATCAGAAGCACATTCCCATTCAAATTCATATACACAATCATATGTTTCATCCAATAGGTACATGAAAGGCCAAGAACTAATATCTTAAATTCCTTAGTATCTTCAAGATTGACAGCCTAGTGGAGACTCAGAATAACAGCGTACAGAATACCCCACACTCTGGATCGAAACACTCTTGAATATAAACAAATTTTACAATCTCACCACGCTCCTACGTGAAATACTGATGCCTCTCATTAAAACTAGACTTAGAGAAAAAGATCTTCCCCACTGGTGAGTCTGGCCTTCTTTCCATGTCCAGTGTGCACAGACAGAAACTTGGGGAACACCAAACTATGATCCCTGATCAGAAAAAATAACAGATTCCTAAATCCAAATGACAAGCAGTTTCAAAATATCTCTTACTAGACCCTTCCACCTCTTCATCTCAGATTTGGACTGTAAAGACCACATAGAACTTATATAGACACACTCTGAAAGGGATTATCTGAGTTAATAGGCTGGCCAACCAAGAACTTTTGTCACCTTTTCCTCTGATAAATCTGCATGCACCAGCAGTACATCTTGAGAAAATATCACTATGACTTGGCCCTCCCATGTTGGAAGTGGCTGAGGTCTTGCATTTATTCTCCTTTCAAACAGAAAAAGAACAAAATTTTAGGGCAAAAGACAACAAAGTCTTCTAAGCTGCAGAACTCTACCGATTCAGTTTGGAGAACAAAAAAAGCTCACTATAAATAGTAATAGCGGTGAAGAAACAAAATGTCTGCTATTTTTTTAACTCTTCAGGGACTCATGGATACACTTGCAACAACAGTAATCTATGAACAATAAAACTAATTTGAACAACAAAAGGAGGTGAAAATTACAGATATCAGGGTTATGCAGAATTTTTTATTAATCATAGTGAAACCAATATCACAAAAAAATAGTAGGACAGATCAATGCATCACTTTAAAATAGTGACACAAATATTACACTAGGAAATTTATAGATCCCCCAATGGAATAAATAAGGTCAGACAAATCAACTAATCCATTATTATTGACAGACAGACTAAGCATTCAAGTTAACACCCCACAAGGATACATCTCAAAGAAATAGAAAATACCAGGAAGAATGGCTCCCCTTTTTCACTCGAGCTATCACAAAGGTTAACAAAAAAACTATAACAACTTACAAAGTAATCTTTCCAGATGGAAACTAGATACTACGTTAGGATGACCATTCTAAACTTATTCAGAAAATAAAGTACTAACAGGAAACATAATCAATCTAATACCCACATATTTACACCCTAAATTATTTCAATAATATCTGGAAATAAATGTGCAATTTCAGTAGCACATACAATTGGACATGTATTCATAGCATTAAAACATTTAAGATATAATCCAATTATGTAATTTTTTTCCTTTTCCAGAGTCATCTTAAGTGTGTGGAAAGCAGAAAGGCATCCAGAAAAGCAGGGCAAGATGCCCTTCTCTCCTCAAGAGTCCTGAGCCAACGGGATTTATTCCTATATGAAATATTGATGGTAATACACCACGAAAATGGAAGTATAAGACAATCATAAAAAAATTGCATATAAATGGACATATTAAAAAAACAAGAAATTGACTGACTAGATGATACAAGAGCATTCATTCTCCAAGAATAAATTGTTTCAAGCAGGATTTAACACAGGTACTGAGTAAATTGCAGAAATTTCTTTCTCTGCATATGAAGTCTTCCATGTAATCATGCATTAAATTAGAGATTGCAGTACACTTAACAGCTTTCTCTGATCATACAACAAGAAACAGCAACTTCACAAGATAATGCTATGATTCAATGAAAGTGAACCAAAAATTCAAGCAGTACAATCACACATAATAATTTCATTTTTTTTTTAAATACAAACAATCACAAATCACATTTAGTCATCAAGCCCCCAGGAATTTGTAGTCATCCTGGTGTTGGTAAATTTCGACAGTAGAGATATATTGATTTCTGTCAGAAAATCTTCGTACATGCATTTTTTCAGTACTTTCATTAGAGCTCTTCATACAAAAGTAATTGGTAATTATTTTCTCTTGCATGCCATTCTCCTACAGTATACAAGATTGCAAATTGCAGCAATAGACAAAGATGCACTTGCCATAGCCTCATATCAACATTTCAATTCACAAGCCAAGACTCATTTGTTAAAATGATCTTTCTTGCATTGGCTCATGATCTTACCACTTACCAGTAGCTTCAAGTGAATAAAGAAGCAAGACAGCTTAGAGCTGATCACGAGTTTCGAGTTCCATCGTATTTTGGAACAAAAACTTTTTTTTTCTTCTTCTCCAATCATTTACAACCTATTTTATAGGCATCTTAATCTATGGCCAGTTAACTTTCATTCAAAAACAAATTAGGAAGAAAGTTCTTCAAGATTTATAATTTCAGTTAGGGCCATTCCTTCCCTTCTCAGAATTACACTGCGACTTTGAAAGTTAAAACCATTAATTTTCAGGCAGAACAAACAAAGTCCGATCAGATTGTAATCGGTTGTCAAGTGCTTCTTTTGGCATTGGCTGATGACCTTACCAGTAACTTCAAAATGAATGGAGAAGCACGACAGCATAGACCTTAGCACGAATTTCAAATGCCTTGAGATATTTCACTTTAGTTCCTTTTGTATTCTGGAACGAATTACCTTTCTATTTCTTCTTCAACCATTTAAAAGCCTATTTTATAGAAATTTATTCTATGGGAGATCATCTTTCATTGGAAACAAGTTACAGAGAAAGTCGTCCAGGTTTTACGATTTCAATTAGGGTTATCCCTTTCCTTGTCTGACAACATTACACTGCATCTGTATTAACTTCGACTTTGAAAGGTAAAACCCTTAATTCAGAGAAAGAACCAAACAAGACCGATCAGATTGTAATCGGAATCCGAGAAAGGTAGATGACGGAGTATCAACAGAGACAAGAACACAGAGTGAGTTTAATGGAAGACAAAAGGCATAAATTAAAAACAAAAATAGGGTTTTCTAGAGTAGCGACTAATGGGAACGAACGAATGGATCGATTTGGGATTGGGCAGCGGAAAGATAATTTTACCTGACAAAGATCTAAATCGGAGGCCCATGAAACTCTTTTGGGTTTTTGCAATCGGCGCATAATTAGGGAATGGATCGTTAAACTGCTTGGATCGAAATGTGTGTGAGTATGGAAGAAAAGATTGGAGAGTAAACCCTAACCAGAGAAAGGTATTTATAACTTTGAAGGGCCCTCACCGTCAAGCATACGCACACGCACCCGCACCCCCACCCCTATCTATCTACCTATCGATGTATCGCAGTTCTTCGCTGTTCACATGCTTAGAATCCAAACCAAACACAACATCATCATCTTTCTCTCTTTCTCTCTTTCCTTCTTTCCCAGGTTGCCCTTTTCTTAAAGCTCCCAACCCCAAATTATCGTCACTCACCCAAACCAAATCTCACCAAATGACAAGTTGCAAATTCGAATATGCACACCAGCAATTATATAAATAAAGCAGAATAAGAAAAACAAACTTAATAAATACTTTAACGGCAAAATAAAAATATATATAAAAAATCAGAAGGTAAAAAAAGCCAAAGTTGGGTAGTGTAAACAAGATTTATGAAAATCTAAATAAGCTAAATTATAAAAATCTTTCGTATAATTTATCAAAATTTAATTTTTAACTTGTAAATAAGCTAATTTTCGTTTACGAAAAACTTGTTTTATTTTCTCCCATATAAATAGTTTTATCAAACTTCAAAAGTAGATTCGAAGATAAAAAAAATAAAGGATGTATATATTAAAGGTAAAAAAAATAAATTCGGATCTCCAAATCTGCTTCAAGTCTTATATATTAAAAATGATGGATGTATTTGAATAGTTTCTTTTATGTATATATTTATACGAAATAAAACGAAAATTAAATCAGTTTTTTCTTAAGTCAACAGTTAATTTATATGTGAACTAATTTATATTATTTTGTAATAGTTTCTCCAAAAAAAAAATTAACTTAATTGATAAGTTAATTTTAATTTGTAGATAAGTAATTTAGTTATCTTTTATTAATTTAGTTAATAATTACCAAATTAGTAAATATTCCATATTTATAATGTGATTGTAAAAAATAAATAAAATCATGTTGATCAGAACAGTTTCCAAACAAGTCGATACTAATTATTTTTATAATTAGTTAATGTGATTTATTTATTTTTTTAAATGAGGGACCTAACCTCGTAACCTATTATTTTCTATTTTCCATTATTAGCATATATTTTTTTTAATGATTTTGTTGACAGTGATTAACAAAAATTAAAGGTAGAAAGTTTGGGTGATTGATTAAGAACAGTTTATTATCCTTACAAAAATTTGCTTATTTTTATTAAAAAATAAATTTTATTTATTTTTTAAAAAACTAAAAAAATTGTTTAAACCCTAAACTCTAACATAATTTTTAAAAACATTTAAAAAAATAAAAAACTAAAATGGATGAACTTGTTTGTTGATTATTTAAAAAAAAATATTTTTTTTAGATTTTAAAAATTAAAAAACTTTTATTTAACATTTTCAAAAACGTTTTTTGTTTTGTTTTAAAAACAAAAAATAATAATAAAATATATTTTCTGTTTAAAAATTTATTCACATTTGTTAGATAGTTCCACTGCATTATCCATTTTCATCACCATTAAATATTTTTCAATTTTATTCACATTTTTTTCCTTTATGAATGTTATTATCTTTCATTTAAAATAGTTTTATCAAAATTTATTTTAACTTATATTAAAAAAAATCAAAATCAGTTTCTAGAACTGTTTCTAAATATTAAAATCAGTTCCTCTGTTGGGTTTTCTTTTGAAATTTAAATTTTGAATTTGTATATAAAATTGGCTTTCAACATGAATATTCAAAAAGTCTATTTGGATATTTCAAAATAATACGTCTAGAAGCCTATCTGCATGGATTTTACACAGAAATACATGAAATAGATTTTTCTATAAACTTTAGCTAATGTACAAACAAAAAAATATTTTTAAAAGACTGAGAAAATTTGTTTAAATTTTTATTTTTTCTCTCCTAAAATGATTGTAAGGAAATTTATCCAAACATATTTATACCTACTATTATTCTCCGAGGAGCACCTACCCGGAATCATCAACTTGCCCCTTCAGTGAATTATACTGGTTCCACTATGAATCTCTCACATATTCAGTTTTACCATACTCTCGGCGAAGAGAATTTTTGTGCTCACCAACGAGCAAATTTTGGAGCTAATTTATTCTTTCTCACTCTTCATTTTTTGGCTGATGCTTTACAAATTTATGTTATATGTTCATAGTTCTCTTCAATTAATCTCACTCATATTTTCCAATATTATTCACTAATATTAAAAACGTTAAAAAAATGTATTAATATCCAACTCCGATCGTAATTTTGTTGTTTTTTTGTAGTTTGTTGATATCGCAAATCATCTAAGAAAAGTTGACAGCACTACTCAAGAAAAATTCCGATACACTTCCAATCCTGTCACGAGTTTCTAACTTCCGCTATATAATACTTGTTTGCCTTTTTTGCCAACTCCACAAAAATCATGCTCAAGACTTTGTCAGATTACAGCTGAGCTTTGGCTCTTTTTCTCCTTCACTTTTAGATTTTTGAAGAGTGCTAAAGTCAAATGAATAGGGAAAAAATGCGGATGATATTCAGCATATTTCAATAATGATGAAAAATGACTACTAAAATCCTGCAGTTGGTCAAAATCAAACAAAAAAATATATTCAACAAACATTAAAATATTTTATAGAGTCTGAACTCTGAAACTTACAAATCGCGTGCGCCTCACAGGTATGGCAAAATAATAACCATGACCCGAGCAACGAACAATGTACATAACATATATAAGCCTCACTCACTTTTACACATGAATGTTCCCAGCAGTCGCAACCAAACTGAGCATCTTCAAATTTGGGGAAACAGAAAAGGGAGGCAAAGAATACAAAGTGTCAAGAAATATAAAACGAAAAAAAAGAAAAAGAAAAAAAGAAGCATGTAGAACGGAGCAGCTATGCTTCAAGAAAATTAGCGAGTGAAATCCTCGTAGAAGCTTGTCAGCACACTTCCGCCATCATTTCACCTCAGCCATTTTCTCTCTGGAAGAAGCAGAAATCAAGTGGTAAGTAGCACAACTTAAGCAGATTTTTTTTCTTTTTTCTCTTTTCTTCATAAAAAAATTCTATGGTTCTAGAAATTGTGGACACTGGACACCCAGTATGTTTAGCTCAATAACAAACATTATTCTAACTTACTAAAAGAAGGTGAGGCAAAGAAAGCACAAACAATTATCTTAAAGGTAGAGCAGCAATGATATATTCACAAGTAAGTTGGTTTAAGAAGGAAGTAAAAGCTACATTTTTTTCATTAATGAGGATATTATGCTTAATATATCCTCCCTGACCATATGCCTTCATTTGCAGTAGAGCCTCAAAATGTGGCATTTCCAAACATTAATTTAAGAACAAAAAACCCCGAAAAGAATCTGATGAAAAAATGTCATTCACGTCCTAGTTCACCCTGCCCCAAAAGTACCCAATGGTCAGAAACACAAATTTAAGTAATATAACATTAACTTTTGGCAAACCAAATCCCAGACATAATCTGTAAACATAGTCTGGATTCTTGCAAAGCGAACAACCATAAATTAATTGATCGAAGCTTGTCTCACAATACACACACACACACACAAAAAAAAAAAAAAGGTTTTCCATTACTAGCATGTCAAACAGCGACAATAATGAATTAGACAGCCAAGATAACGGTTTATCAATTAGTCATAATTACTAGCAACAACCCTCACACACAAAATAAGTTGATGGAAAACACTATTTGAATGAAGACAAAAATGATGATCCTTTCATAATAAAAAGAAGATTCAAGCTCCAGCACACATAATACTTCCAAATCCTACCAAAAATTAGTTACTTATACGTTAGAAATTACCTTGAGGAGGATGTACATTATTTCCTTTGGCACTCTGCTGTGCCTTAGATGTTGATCGTTGGATCCGTGGAGAACCTTGCCTACCTGTAGCACCAGATAAGGAATGTCTCTTCTTAGCTTCAATGTCTCGTTCATGCACATCTGGGCTTGATCTTGGAGAGTTATTTGCATTAATCTTGGCCCTAGCAGATTCTGTAGCTTGCATGAAATGGGGAATAGAATTATTGCTAGTACTATTATCTCTGGGTTCTTGATCAATTTGATCAGGCTTTACTGAGCCAAAGGAACTGCGCCTCTTTCCATTCTGCTGATCTTTAGGTAGTTGCTCCTCCCTACTTTCTCTTGAGCCTGAATCTTGATTTGGAGTTGTAGGTGCTTTGTTACTTAATAATAGGCTCCGACGTTTACCACCAGATCTACTCTTGTTAATTTTGCTCTCTTTAGGCTGCACAGACACTTGACTTGAAGGGGTCCCTTGAGATTCAGGGACAGTTAAATGGCTTCTAGGTGATGCTTCTGGAGATGATCTTAAATCTTGCAGAACAGCCTCTGCTGGCTCTCTCTGCAGATCTGATGCATTTTTCTCAGTCTTATTAATAGCAGGCTCTTCAAAGTCCACAGCTACAACTGAGTGACCCAAATTGCCACTAATGTCATCAACAACCTCCGACTGATGCAGAGCAGAAGTAGCTAGGTTAGAAGCTGGGATGGCAGATGAAACATTGACCTCATCATCTCGGTTTATTGCATTCTCAAGATTACCAATCCCTTCCACCAAATCTTTGGCATCTCGCTCATTTTCCATAACGCCAGGCTCTGATACATCAGGTGAATCAAGAGTGGAAGAAATGGAGAGTTCAGTGCCACATTCAGAACCAGCAAGCCTAGCATTATAAAGAGCAGGATTTTCAAATGCAAACTCTTTTGGTTTATATGCAGTGTCATTGCCAACAGAAGAGGTATCTCCTTGTGATTCAACTGCTGAATCTTGGTAGGACAAACTGCTTGCCCTACCTGAATTTGCAATTGAACTCAGCTCTTCAAATTTTGTCTGGGCAGCAATAAATGCAGGATTGCTGACCTTTCTTGATCCATTCACAGGTTTCTTTCCTTCAGACTCTAGTTGGTCTGAGGCAAATCTTTTCATGGATCGTTTGCTCTTCTCGTTATCAATTTCAGGTTTCTCATAAAAAGAATTAAGCTCTGGTGGTGGGCCAATTTCAGGCTCCTCACGGAGAGAATTATGCTCTGATGGTGGGGCAATTTCAGGTCCCTTGTGAAGAGAGTAAAGCCCTGATGCGGCACTTGCATCTGATACTGAATTGTTATTTTGGAAGGAATCAGTATCAGCCAAGGCAACTTTAGCATTATATGATGCAGGTTTTTCTTCAGCAGGAACCTGTTGCATGTCATCTTTTATAATAGAAGGCGTGGAGCTGCTTGCTTGAAACTCAAAGTTATTAGCATCATAAATAATCAACTTGTCTTCATCTTCAGATGGCAGAGGCGAATCTTCAACAGTGGGTACTGAGTCAACGGCTGGGGGAGAGGGTTCAGATGGAACACCCGTTTGAAATTGAAACACAGAAGCGCTGTCTTTGGTTTCCCTTGATTGCTCTGCCACAGAACTAGTTTCATTGCACTCTGCAATATCTTTTGATGATACGGACATCCACCTTTCCAACCATTTCCAAGCAGAGTCGGCTTTAGAAGGATCACACTTGACATGGATAGGTTTTTTCTTTGGTGCTGATTCTAACAGCTTGAATGTATAAAAAAGATGGGAAGGGATTTAGTCGGATGATAAATATATATATATATATATATATATATATATATGTGTGTGTGTGTGTGTGTGTGTGTAACTGCCGAGTGGGCAACAAACATATCTATATTCAGCATACCTGACTAGCAAACCTATTGCTTAGCAGCTTCTGAATTGAAGTGTAATTCACATTTGATTTGGTCATGAGATTTTCATTTCCCTAAACAAAGGTAAAAATAAATGGTAATACTTAGAGCAATGTTTCCAGCATATCAATTGACCATACACATCATTTGATGCTCTTCTCGATAAAAATATATAAAAAGCCTCAACTACTAATGAAACAGAGATTCTATGTTCGAGACTTCTAGTAATCATATTGAATGCTCACTGTATTAAGGAGAGAAAATTCTAAAGACTAATAATTTTTCAAGCTCAAGCAAACTTAAACAGGGTAATAACTGAGCAAGAATCATCAAAATTACTGCACAGAGGGCAAAGCAACCGCTAATCAATAATTTCAATTTTCAAGTAACAATACCAAATCTTCTGGGGAATCGCTTTTGCCATCCTTGTGATTTAAATGATTTTGCAAATGTGATTGTTGAGTACGACGAGCTCGCACAAGGACCTGCATCTTGATGATGGCTTGAACACAACGCAGGGTTCCCACAGCATGCAGCCGGACCAAGTACCCACGAATAGCAGCTTGCAACTTCACTACTTTCTTACGCTTTAGTAGTAGTTCCCTCCGAGCCTGAAAGCAACAGGAACAAGACACAGAAAGAGGAAGTTAAAGTTGTTCCTTCATTCAAGGTTCTGGATTAGTAAAATTTTCAAAGGTAAGCATACCAGTAACCCTCTAATAGCTGCCTGGATGATGATGACATCAGACTCTGGTGGATTCACATCCACCTTCCTCTCAGTTTCAATGACATTTGTTTCTGCTACTTGTGAGCTTTCAAAGGAGGATAACTGGGGCTTCTCATCAGAACAATTTGTTGTGTAAATTTTGTCAACAACATTAGGTTCAGGAAGTGGTTGAAAATTAAAATTAGTACATTCTGAACTTTCCTTATTTGCCGAAGATGGGGCATCTGCTATCACAGTATTGCTAAGCACACGATGCCTTGCAGATTTCTTACGGAAACTCCAACCACGTTTGTCATTAGATTCTTCCTTAATCTGGAATAATATTTAAAAAAAAGAAAAGTGTAAAAAACAAACTTGAAGCCATGCATGTAGGCACACTAGCAAGGATACATAACCTCAGTTTCTTCTTACTGCCAGCTATAAAGTATAAACTAAGAATGATGAATATAAATATATCTGGACCAGACATCCTCCACAAGAAAATTCACGATAATTTATATGTTTCCAGCATTGACCACATGCAAGAAGCCAGGAAGGTGATTCCGCTCCCAGCTTCATTATGCACAAATGCTACTTCCTACATTTATTACTAGAAGAGGTTCTGTACAATCATGATTATATCCCAGGCTTCGGTTTCAAACAGTAAAATATAAATCCTACTTAATGGGAGGGATTGTTGAGCATTGGTAAGCTAGAATAAGAACTTTCTTTCAAATACAGAATTTATTTTCCATGTTCCATGTCCGAAACATATGGCCCAAATGAAGTGTTATTTCAATCTTAACAGAACCATTATGTTTAAAATACAGCCAACTATAAACTCTTCTAACTTTGCAACAGTAAATTCTGGTATTCAAACATGTTTTTTTAGTACTCCTTTTAATTTCAGCTTTTAATTAATTTTACCATGGAATTTAGAAGTGGAAACAACAGCAAATTACAAAGAATATTTTTTCTCAATGCAAGCTAAAATAAGTATATTTGTTTCCCTCTAATTTATGCACATGTATTCAAAACTACATTGATTCAGTGTCTCAAATGTAAGAATGAAATGGAGGGTTGCTTCAATCCTAAAGATCCATCTTGCTCATATGCAGCAAACCTTTAACTCTTCCAATTTTGTAAAATTCAACTCAGCTCGTGAAACATACTTTTACAGTATTCTCTTCAAATCCAGCTTTTAATCAGTTATATAAAGGAATTTAAGAAATGAAAACAAAGAGAAATTACAGACAATTTTACCACACGGCAGAGACATCACTAGTCATAAAAAACGACAGGAGACAGATATTCAATGAACTAAATTATTAAAAAATAATAAAAATAAATAAACAAATAAAAATCCTAAATGAATTATGTTCCAATGATCTTACGCATAATGCATCTAAGACCCGCCTTCTTATTCATAATGCCAAGTGCTAAAGACCTTTCTTTAAATCTTTCACTGACTCGATGAAATTTACGAGAAAGCAATGTGCAACTATTTAAAGTTACATGTGCAATGCGTACACTTCATCCAGCGAAAACACAATGAGGCTAGAAGCATAGATCTAAAAATAACGTTGATGGTAACTCCATATCAAAAGCGTGAAATGTCACCATCCTAACGAAGTTCCATGACCCCAGATTTAAAAAACGCCTACAATTTCTGGATCGTTCTCATGCATTGGAATGCAATGAGTTTCATGTAAACAAAAAATTCTACCTTCAGGAAAAAAGACTTAAAAAAGCGAGCACAATAATTACAATTATCAACAGATAGCGAACAGCTCCCTCAACATCCATTGGTAATCATGAAACCGAGGATCACGAGAGGGACAAAAGAAAAAGGAAACAAAATGATGGAAAAACCGCATCGCACTCATATTCTACAATTTTTTAATCAGAAATCAAAAAAGGAAAAAGAAATGAATGAGTAAAGGAAATCCAAGGCGAAGCTACTGATTCCTGAATGCAGGATGCAAAAGAGAATCCTAGCGCGTTAATTGGACAAGAAGAAGAGAAAGAAGCTGGGATCAAACATGCAGAGAGAGGAAGAGATGGTGCGTAAGATAGCAAGGGTGGGTAAAGTGAATTGAAGCTTGGAATGGTAGAGAAAGAGAGAGTAATTACCTCGGAGACTTGGTGGTACTCGTCCTTCTCGGCCGCATCGCCACCGCAAGTGATTAGCTTGAAGCAGGCGGTAGATTTGCCCATGGCTCAGTCTCGGAAAGGAACAAAACAAGAGGAGGAGGACCTTTGTGTTGCGGTTGGTTACCGTATTGGAAAATGGAAATAGAAACAGAGAAAGTTAATAAGCTTAAAATATACGGACCTCAACTCTCCCTTAAATCTGCCTTATGTTTTTGCCTTGGAGTCCGCGTTCCGTTTCCCTTTGCATCACTTCGTCTCCCTTCTCTTTCACGTACCAAATCAAAAATGGGTTTTCAATTTTCTTTCACTTTTTATGGTGTGACTTTTTTATCCATTACTGATCAGAAAGATTGGTAGATACAACACAACATAAATATTATTTAAAATTGACGTTGTTACTGGGCGCACACGATGATTAGCGCACGCAACCCCGTTTTCGAATCTGCTTTGAAATGTGGAGGACTCGGCAACAGAATCGCGATTTTGCTCTTCTCGCAGTTTGTTTGGTCCTTTTTAATGCATTAGGATTAGGATAGGACCATGACCATCACCATGACCATTTCCATTACCCCTATTGCAATACGGTTAAGATCCAGCGTGTTGTGGTCCCCTTCGCTTCTACTAAAGTAATTCTTCCCTTCTTCTCTTTTTTTTTTTTTTTTTTTCCTTATTTTCTCTTTAAGTAAATACAGATTCTTACCATTGCTTTTTTTCTCGTGTAAAATAAGGGTTTTTAATGGAATCCACCCCTCCTGAATTTCTTCATGATTCACGCTAAAGCACCTAAACTCTTCTTCACGCTATTTATAGAATTCATGTCTGGAATTTGGTTCCTTATCACAAACTGATTAATTATAACTGCTATATTTTTTTTTTTTCATGTGTAGTTTAACCCGTCATTGTGTTTTGAGCATTTCTTATTAAAATATTGTTTCTCAAAAATATAGACAAAAAATAATATGTTATTGTTTTATCTTACAACCCATATTATTTACGTGTTGTTTAATTAAGTAGCAGTTATGTGTTTTACTAACTATGTACGTAACATTATTGAACCTAAGCTTAGGTAACTCGAGTTTGTTTTTGTCATTTTTTTATTATGTTTGATTTCTATGTATAAATAGGAGTTTGAGATTTAAAGAAGAGTTCTATTAGAAAATATTGTTGTAATTAATAGAATTATTCATTATTTAAAACCATAGATTTTATAGGTCTAGTACTCATTGGAGAATTAATACTTTCATAATTTTATATTTTTAATACAATCAAATAAACATGAAAATGTATAAAAAATATATCTAAACAAATAATTTGTTTCATCAAATACATTGCAACAGATGTGCACATTTAATGGTCCCAGAGAGAGCTAGTGTAAAAAAAAAAAAAATATAACAAGTAACAACAACGATGCTATTTGTAATGTTTTTGGGGATTTTTAGATGTTCTGTAATTGAACATGCTATTTTCTGGTTGATGTTTATTTATCTAAAAAATTAGTTATAAATATATATATATATATATATATATATATATATAACTAATTAATGATTCATCTTCTATGTATATGTGGATATTCAAATTTATTAAATAGGTTTGGATAGCCTTGTATCTATCTTAGTATCATGTGCTGAAAAAAAAATGTAAACGTATTCAATTTAAGACTGGTAATTTCAATCCAATGCAATGAGTTAGTATGTTTTAAAAAAAGTAGCTAATATTTACTAGATAATTTTATTGGATTAAAAAGATTGTAACAAGATTATAATTTATGAAATTACGTATAATAATTATACTTATTTCATCGTACGATTTAACTATATGTTCTGTTAAGATAATAACGTGACCATAATATGTTCGCACTCTTACTATCTACTCTAGCTACATGTGAATTAGAGTCAAAAGCAATTTTTTATGTAACCATGTATAAGGTTTTTAGGAAAAATTGTGTAGTGTATGATAGTTGAGGGTGAACAAAATTTTAGATAGATCTCATGTTCCGATCGACCAAAACCAAATCCAAAGAAAATTGGGGTTATCTCATCTCACTATTTTGGTTTTGATTTTAAAATTGTAAACTCTACGTGGACACATGGAACTCAAATAATTGTGAATCTAATCTACATTGTTTTATAACAAATTTATATCGAATAGAATTCTATAAGTTTGTATGTTGTATAATTTTATAATGTTTACTTTGAGATAATTAACTTTTATTTTATCATATAGTTCCTTAAATTTATTTTCAGCATTTAAAGGTTGGAAGTCTACTTTGATTTGACTTTTTCTATTTATTGAAAAATTAAAATATATTTTATTTAATCATATCGAACAAAAAAAAATCAATCATAATTTCATCTACAGTTATAACACTATTTGACATCTAAACATATCAATAGAAGAGGTTTTAACAAAAAAACTATTCAAGCTGGGGGTCAGAGTTTTGTTTGGAGAAGGTATTTGAAATATTTACAAATTTAAATGTTGACAATTATAATTGTTTTAATATAAAAAAATAATGTCTTGATAAATTAATCAAATTTATTTACACCTAATGTTATTGTTTTGATAATATTAATACATTTATTAATTTTATAAATGTTGTATCTGAACCAATAGAAAAAGGAAGATAAAAAAAGTATTTCAAAAATAGAAAAAAGTAAATATTTATATTTTATATTTTAATTACTAATTTTTACTTTTTTCATCAAGTGAATTTTTAAAGTGAGTGTGATGATTACAGCGAACTAATTCGTAAATTCTAATGCAGTGATACTTTTATTTAAAACCATTAAGTAGTCTTTAACATAGAGTATTATATTAATCCGGTAAATAACATTGAAACCGTAATTTATATCTATAATTTTTAATTATATGACTATAAGTTTTATAACGGATTTTTTTAATCCTTCTTTTAATATCATTAGAGAAAAAAAGTGTTATAATTTAAAAATATTAGTTTTTATTTATTTTTAAAATAATAAAAAGAAAATGTAGAGAAGAAAATAATAATAAAATAAATAATGTTTTAAAAGAATTTAATTTATAAAAAATATAAACACGAAGATGTTTTAACTCTTATTTTTAGTAATTATGTATAAAATTGATTTGTAATTATTTTTGTAGGACTATTGAAAAACTATACTAAAAATAATTATTATGATTTATATATTTAAAAAATAAAAAAAATTTAAGATGTTAAAGTTATCTTATTTACAATTCTTAACCCAATGTAATAAAGAAGAAACCAACTCATTGAACACTATTTTGTCCACGCTTGCCACGTGGCTTGACTTATTGGATACCTACGAGCACATGGGTGAGTTTCCTTACATTACATATATTATCATTATTTATTTTATTCTTTTATGAAAGAAAGAGAGAAAAAAAACGATGAATGAAAAAGAAAATATTAAAATTGGTGATGGTAACGGTATTTGAATATTTTTTATTGGAAAAACAATGGTCCACCCACACCGATTAATTAACATTAATTTATGATAAATAATATAAGAAAGACAACCACCTACTCATGTCGCTCGTTCATAGAACTCCTCTACTTTCTTTCCCCCTTACTCCAACCAAAACCTACGCTCACACAAACAATCATGCCACAGCCACACTTTCCTTTCAATTTTTGGGTTTACAAACATTTTATTGCATTCCCATTTCATTTAAATGAAATATAAGCAAAATATATTAATAATTAATATTCTTTTTTCTTACAGATCATTAGTTACGAATAATAATTAATTTTTTCTTAATAAATAGACTGTTTAACTTATTATAACACTTTCTATCTTCCAAGAAATAGACACCTCATCTTTTTAAATAATGGCTTCTATCTCTGATATATATAATAAAATATCAAATGATATTTGATGGCTAAAAAAAAACGGATGGTTTTGAAAACCAAACATATACTATCAATATTTGGATGGTAAAATGGATAATTCGTTTTATTTTTTGCTCGTCTTGTTTCTAATAAAAAAAAGTGATAGAACAAGTTAGCGGATTAGTCTATTGATAATTCTTTTAATATAAAAAAATTTATATATATATTTTTTAAATATATCTTTAATTATATAAATATTTATTTATTTATTAATATTTTTATTAGATAAATAAAAAAATTATAATTATGTATTAAAATAAGTAATTATAATCAATAATTTAAATTTAATTTTTTAATAATTTAAATTATAATATATTTACCTATTTTAATAACATAACAAAATATAATATTTTATTTATAATAATCTTCATTTTAATATATAAATATTTGTTTTAAACATACCATACTTGGTCTAATAAATTAATAAACTAAATTAATAAACTAAATGAAGCGAGGTTAACGGAATAAAACTATCATCTATCCATTATTTTATCCACTATTTTTTAGACGGACTCATTGAAATTAACTTATTGTATCATTTATTCAACATTATTCATTTAAATAAGTTACAAACACGTGGAAATTAGTGTTGATACTACCTATGTGGTTGTGTATACTATTCTAATCAATGAGATATTATTTTGGAAAAAATGGGCCTAGAAATAAATGTAAGAAAACCTCTTTTGAAAAAAAATCTTAATATATGCTTGATCGATGATATTTTCAATAATATTTTAGCCATTTCTTTTGACTGAGAATCAATTTAATTAATTTACGTGAAAAAATCAGTTTTTTTTGTTGTTGCTAAAATACATTTTCTTAAATTATGTTTTTCCCTAACTTTAAATAATAAAATAAAATTAAAATATTACTTGAATTTAAGATACAAATTATTCCATACACCATTCTCAAATATTATAATATGTTGTGCGGTTAACGCAATAAAGTTTTTTAATTATTACCATTTCAAAAAAAGAAAGAAAAAAAAAAACATGTTTGGTGTCCGATCCTTTTATTTGAATGCGAATTCACGAAATTGCACTAGCGGCATTATCAAAGAATAACCATATTTTTACGAAAGACACGAAGAAAAAAAACGAGTAGTACTTTCTTTGATAATCCACTATTAAAATCTTGCTCCTTTACCTGTCAAATCATAATAAATAATTGATCACCAAATACATAGATAAACAAAAGGCAAAGCAGGTTTAGTGAAATTAAGGATTTTGAATTCAAACTTGTTACGTTTTGAAAATGGAAAGATAGAGCAAGTGATCAATACACACTTTACCGAACTTGAATTAGCTAATTATTTAATGCGTATAATAGGTGATCTTAAAGCAAAACACCATGATTATTCAATCATGCATATAGTGATTGGTAAACCCCAAGAGAAATAGATATTAAGAAAAAGTTTGTTTAACCACTATCTGTAGGTCGAGGGTACGCACGTACGTTGTCTCATGGCCATACTTGCGAGAACATCCTATCAAATCAAAGAGAGGGAAAAATGATTAGTGATTCGATATATATGGGACAAGTTTGGTCCACAAGTTTTTAGCACAAATAGCTGCTATGTGGTGTATAAACAGAGACATTAGTAAATAATTTGGTTGATCCATAATTTTTGGTAGGATTATGATTTCAGTGGAGGCAGAGTGTCCCAATCATGAGAGGGGGACGTAAGGTTGGTTTGATTATGAGTAAATGGGAGAGGAGAATGAATGAAAAAGTGTAGGTAGCAATGAATATATTTGAGGTGAAGAAGAATAAAAAAAGGTTTAGGTAGAAGGGCACATGACAAGCCAACTATACAGAGGCAATTAATGGTGAGTGCGTAGGTGTGGTGGAGCCCAGTGTCACATGGGATCCAACGAAGCCAGCCACAACATTGTTGTTTCGTCAAATATTTCGTCCATCATAAAGAGAAGGAACCGTGGCAAGTGAATCATAAAAGCTTGTGTGCATGTGCATGGCCTCTTCTCGTTTAAAGCTTATCCACCTGACATATCTCACATGCTACCTTGCTCCGTCACTCCCAAACTAATCATTAACCCTTCACTAAACACACCAACACTCCTCGTCACTGCTTTTGGATCCTCATGCTTCAGTTTTCAGAATCATGTATTCTAATAATGCAACGCCACACCATGGCTTTAGTGAGTGCAGTGGTATTAGCACATGTGCATGCATTGAGAAACCAAATCAGAGCCCAACAACTTTGAGCATAACAAGAGCCCAAATGCATTGAAACAGGGCTTATACATGGCCTGAATGCTACAAACTGATATTGTTTAACGAGTGAAAACCAGACACTGTTCTTGTTCAAATCATCCTCAACAGATGGATACCTGTATCTGAAACCTATAACCTATAGGGATTACCTAGATAGTATCTAGAGATGGAAGCCGATTATTTTTGAGGAATTTGGCAACAGAAGGATAAGGATGCCTCCTCACAAAATGGTTCAAGTAACAAAGCCCAAGCAATGGTTTACAAAAAACACACGCCCATGCAAAGTCTATGTAATTTAATTATATTTTGAATTTTTAAAATATGTTGTTAAATCATTTTTCGTGGTTTCGTTTTACATAATTTTTATTACATCATATGACGAAACTGAAATATTATTCGTTTCTAGTCTTTTCTTTTAATGTATTTTCCCATTAAAAGTTATTTTATTTATTTATTTATGTGGCCTAATATCATTGGAATCTTTTCGAGTGGTTAGTTCTTATGAGTTATTATAAGTTTATTCGAAATAAGCTCTATAAATTAAAGTTGTATTCTTTACTTTAAAACTTCGAGTTTTTTCTAATCACCATAATCGTCCATAAATAACACTTTTTAAATTAAGAGAGCACATAGTTCGAAATTCCTTACTCTTATTGAAAATTGGCTCCAAAGTACTTTAGCCTTCGTAAAAGTATATATTAACAAACCTTCCATCTTTGTTTTACATTATCTTCCTTTGCAAGCAATCTCGTGAACTCGTGACCGCATAACCCTCTCTTATGCTTCTTCTAATGCAGTTTCAAATTGGCCATTTATAAAGAAAAGTCGAATAAAAAAAATCAAAATAGTTAATAATTTCAATTTTAGGTTAATTACACAAAAAAAAATTTATAAGATCATCTAGTTATTTCAAATCTACCCTTCACATGTTTTTACGTTATTTTTCTTCAATCAAACATCTTTTTCTTCACTAATTTTCATTCGTCCATTCCTCACCAGTTTTTTTCCTAAACGAAAACAACGCCAAAAGGGTTTATTGGCGTTGAAAAAAAAAAAAAGACTAATAACTAGTAGCAACAACTTCATCTACATGTTGATGTTTAATTAAAGATATAATTGTATACAAAAATAAAATCATAGACAAACTCCATTGTTATAATCAAATAAACTACGATTTCATTAAAGAATGAATAAAGTGGTGCAAAATTAAATTTCCTTTCAAATTATACCGCCTCCGCCCTGCCCACATTCAGTCAACTCAAGCAAGGTAGACAGACAATGCTACTAACAAGACCATATCCACTCCCATGAGACGCCCATATCCACCATTCCATTGAGCCAAAGTTCACACTTCGGATATAATGCAAAATAATTAAAATATAAAATAAAATCACTTGATCTGCGTCATAGTTAACAAGCTTTTTCTACAAATCAGAAGAATAAATAAAGAGGGGCACATCCAAAGGCATATATAGAAATTGAAGCAATAACAAAAGCATCCCCTCAAATAAATTATAATAACAAGCAGGCAATTCTTGCCTCTGCGTTCCAAAACAGCCAGCAAATTCAACATGTTTCTCAAAATTTTGCATAAAGTAGTTAGCGGGATTAAATTTTAGTAGTACTTAAATTTTAGTGCTACAATTCTCTAATAGGTACATAGAGAAAAAAAATTTCCAACTAAAAATCTATGTTATGACTTCCGGGGTCTTCCTCTCTTACCAGATTTCACCTGAGGGGATTTAGAACTGTTCTTATTAGCTGAAGTCCCACCCCGTCCTTGGCCACCACCACCTTTTTCCTTGGCCGCTGAGCCTTTTCCCTTCGCAGCCGAGCCCTTTCCCTTGGCACCAGATGTTTTGGATGCCTTACCTCGGCCTCTACCAGAACCACGGGATCGTTTCACCTCAGCCTCACCATTAATTTCATCCTCCTCGCTATCTTCACTTTCTTCAGCATCCTCTTCCTCTTCTGACTCGGATGAATCTTTTGACTTTTTCCTCTTCTTAGAATTGTCAGCAGCCTTTGCACCCTTTTTTGCAGCCTGCTTAGGAACTGGAGTAATATTTACAGCCTCGTTACCTGCAGGAAGAACACAATGAAATCAGCACCAGTTTAGCTTCCTACCAGACTGTTAAAAGTCTTCTTTCTGAACAGTCAACTGAAGATGGATCAGGAAAATATCTCCAGCAATTAGGACTCTGCCCAGATCGTACAGTTCAAACCTAAAACTAACTTGAATTATAGCAAGTAGCATACCTTCTCCAACAGCTTTCCCATCATAAATATCAAGCTGCAGACAGAGGAGACGTTAGGCTTTGTAATACAAAGTACACTATACATCGTAACAGAAGATAAAATAGAAACACAAGATAAAGTAAAGTGCTTCGGACGTGTGATGTGATGAAGAGGACATATCATGGACAACATTTGTGATAACAATACAATATTGATATAAATTTATTGCAGGGTAATATCAATCGATACTAGACAAACCTCATGACTTCGTAAATCTATTCATAGTACTCAACAGATAGATCAATTGAGAACCAAAAAACCTACTAAAAAGAATCTAGTGGTTTCTGTATTGAACAGATAAATAGCTCGAACCAACACTCGCTACTATACAATGAATTCTGCTACAAGCAGCCAAAAATATAATGACAGACCTTGTTAAATCCTTTGAGAACTAAGCATGAGCTAATGAACTCCTAAGATAATTATAGGCTAGATAGATAATTCAAGAGCTACCTGATCAAGCCGATCAGCAACATTTGCTCTATCAACAATAACCATGGAATGGCCCATACCACAAGCAACACTGTTAGAAAATAAGAATATTAGATCATTATTAATTTCACATCCACATAAATAACAATCTTAACTGCATAAAAAACATATTGCAGTATTGAAAAGCAACATGTATTTATTGCACCAAAGCATATAATATCTTAACCATTAGCATATTTTGGCTACCAAAACCAAATTGAAACAAAAGAAAATCACTTGAAATTCAGAGTGGAAAATAGAATCGCAACAACCAGAAAAAATAGAAAGGTAAGATAAATTGAAAAAAAAAAGGTGATGCTACTACCTACCTTATTACATGCATACCCTCAAGTATATCCACTTTCTTGGGTACAGCTGAAGACCTACAGGACAAACGCAAACAGGATTAGTTAAGAAGATCAAGGCAAATTAGAGATTACTCCCACACCCCCATCCGCCCAGAAAGAGTTGCGTAGACATACTTCTGTCCAGCAGGTCCATATCCCAGCTCTCCATTCTGAGCATGTCCCCAACTTATGCAAGAGGAATCAGCCCCAACAAAATGATGCATATTGCCTGAATCCATGCATCGTATATTCCACCCACTATTTACCAAAGTAAACATGGAATATTTTAATCAACATCAAGTGCAAGAGTTGGTGAAGAGAAGTTATCAAGAATAATTACATACACCAAGGAATATTATCTTAACCAGGGAATAAAGCACAACCTTAAATCCATCAGAGGCTTTGGATACATCCAGTCATCACCGGTGTTCTTTAATTTGCCCCACATATACAACTGCCCACCACCTGAATGATAAAAGAACCAACACTGAAACTGAAAGCAAAAGCTATTTTGTGGAAAGTAGCCATCCTTGGTCAGTATAACCAGTAGGATAAATTTATTTAACCATTGGCAAAATTAACACCAGCCCTTTTTCATTCCCTTATGTAATGTAATGAACAATTAATTATTAAGTACAGATGCATAGACTATAGAGTTCAACACTTTTAAAAAACCGTCAACTATCCAGTAAACAAAATGATAAAGTGAATATAAAGAATCAATACCAGAAAATTTTCATTTTCATATGTATGTGTGTGAAGCAAACCTGCAGTACATGAAGAACTCACAGCACCAGCTGAAATAATAGCATCAGGCGGCAAAAGATTTCTATTCTGAAAAACATCAACACGGCGTGGGACCCACTCATCCTTCTGCTCCCTATGTCCTAGCCTACATAACCCACAAGGTTTCATGAAATTTTGAATACAAGGGACCAAATACTAAAAAACAATTGGAACAAGAACATCTGAAATTTGCAGTTTATAGGGAGTTCACAAAACATTGCCAACTCAATCTCGAACTAAGCACCAACCTTCCATAACCACCAAAACCCCACCTGCGGACACAAATAATCAACAATTATAACTTTAAACACAAGGAACCAAAACATTGAAGTAGGACTGATGGATTACTCACGTGTAGACAAAGCCATTCTTATCCACCGCCACTAAATATCCAAAACAAAACAAAAAGATCATAAGGAAAAGTAGTAAATATGATCACATAACCAAGATCAAGAAAGGAATAACAACCACCTGTATGATTCGTTCCACATGCCACTTTGACAATAGTTTCCCCAGCAAGAGCAGCAATTGCTCGAGGGCGTGGCTGGGGTTCATAAACCAACTTCACAGAGCTGTCTTTGGAATTATACTGCAGATGTATGCAAAATTAGGTAAAGCTTTCTGTTCATCGCAAAATCCATGCATGTGAAAGTATATAACAATTTTAACAGTAAGCAGAATCAAATGGGAATGAAAAATAAAGACTTTGAATCTTCAGGTAGACAAAGCATGATTTAAAACATCAAAAAGCATGGAGAATAACAACTTTTTATTTAATCATATTATCTGTAAGAAAATTAATTTGTTCTTGAAGAAAAATAATGAACCATTATTACATTAATTGTGATACAATGCTCATAGTTCATGTTGGCATGTCAGAAACTCACTAAGCTGATCAGGAAAAACACCAGCCCTAGGTGGCAACTATAGAATAAATGGGACTCACAAGACAAAATAAACTTAAGCAAATGTCTGATGCAAAATCTGAATACTTTATTAGTAATAACTAATTAGTTTCAGTCCGCTTTGTCCATTATTTGATTATTCTCTTCTAATGTTTCTAAATGTGCAATGCAACAATAAAAATTATTAAGCATTCCTATCATAATTGATAGTATTGTTTTTAATTAAATACACAAATTTTAATTCTGTTTTCAAGAGAAGGAAAGAATTTCACAACATAGAACATATTTCCTCACTGTAAGAGGCACAACTAAGGAAACCAAGTAACTAGCAAAGGAGAAAGTACCTATTAAAGAATATTTCCACCAGGAGTAGGACTAATCAAGGACTTAAATCCATAAAATCCAGAAAACCAGTAGCATGCATAAATATCTAGTCTGCTGAATGTTAAAATATTGAATTCAATATTATTTTAAAACTTGCAAGTACTTTCTTGGAAGAAAACATAAATAAAATAGATGCAGTAAAGACAAAGGGAAAGATATCAGCACTAAGAAACCTATGTTAAATCATATGCCTGCAATAGCATGAGGGAAATACAAGTCAAAATTCAATCATTGTAGTTGTACGATTTGTTAAACCCTGGTAACCATTACAAGCTCAATGGTACCTAAATGGCCCCAAGCACACGGCATCTGATCAACTGGCCTTTAAATCTGAAGATAATAGATCATAAACAACCACTAGAATACAGCTTCCTGCGTCCCATGGGTTTAAAATAAAATAAGGACACACACATCTTGAGACAGCAAAGACCATGAAAACATCTTCCTTGAGCTTACCTCGTTATCAGTTCCATGCCCAAGCTGTCCATACTGTGGAAGCCCTCCAGTTCTGGGAGTCAAAAGAAAATAAAAAAATTTAAAAATAACCACCAAAGATTACATCCCAAGCAAGTGTGTAATGGACATCAAGAAAACAGAAAGCGATTTTCATTCAGAAACCTACAGTATAGAAACTCCTTCAATGGAAGATAACCACACAGTAAAGTCACCGCCACAAGCAGTATGTTTTACTTCAGACACAAGACAGCGAACAGGTGATGACTCAATTTCTGCACAAGACAAAGCATAAAATAAAATAAAATTGACATTATCTACAAGTTAAAGTAATCCTTACTACTCAAACAAAAAGTACAACTCGAAGATCTGCAAAGTTTTTTAGATCAGCTATCAATCTTATTTCGGTGGAAGGACAAAGCAGTGAATTGTAATAATTATTACCACCAGCATCCCAATAACTAACCTCAATGCAACCATTATTCTACACAGATTTTATACACAAGAGAGTAAATAATGGTTTGTTTGGATTGTCGGTAAAGGGAGCAAAGAAGTAGAATGGAATAGAATGCTAAGGTATGTCACTGTTTGGGTTTCTAGAAATAGGAAGGGATGGACAAAATTGGGTGGACTTCTCATTCCACTAAGCAATCCATTCTGCTAACCTCTGAACTGTGAAGAGGGGAAACCAATTTATATTCATTATCATAACTACAAAATTATTTTATTTTCTTTAAAAACTTTCTCCTTGTTGCTAAAATATTGCCACCAATTTCATCTTCCATGTTCTCAAACCAGTCTACCTGCATCAACCTTGTCAAATTGTAAAGAAAAAACCACCATGTTTTTCGTATGTGAGAGTGTGAAATTGGACTCAAAGTACTAGGCTTCCACTACTTAGTTCTGAAAGAGTAAGATTTGGTACAGAAGCTACAGCAGTGCACTCCACCCTTTCCCCCATATTTCAATTTTCTGTTTTGCAACTTTCTTCTAAGCACTTCAAAGTTTTGATTCACAGATTACACTTTCACCAGAATTTCCATGACATCATTGAGTACCCAAATATCAATAAACTTGATTACATTTCCACTCTTAAAAATCAGAACAATCCAAAGAAAAACATGGACCACACTAACAGTCATGAAAAAAATACGTGCCATTGAAAATACAGTAGCAGAAACTGCAGCATAAGAAGATACACTAAAAAAATAATACCATTTCTCACAGACCCCGAACCAAGCTGTCCATGTTTGTTCCATCCAAAGGCCAGGGAATTTCCATCCTCAGTAACAACCACGGTATGGCTCCTCCCTGCTCCAGCTTTGACAATTTTGTATCTTCAATGACAGAATAAACCACAGATCAATACAAAATTAACCCTTAAATGGTGAAGGGTTTAAAGATAGACAAATGTCATTCTCAACATTCATATTAAAGTGAGAGAGAAAAAATATAGTGCATGTTTCCATTGGCGAATCACGAAATTGACAATCAACCAAAAGCAAAAACACATTGTTGCTTCTTCCTAAAAGTATGACAACGCACACACACAATAGTTGTACACATGGCATTCTTCCAAAGTACTGCTACACAATCATCAACAACCCCAGAACCCAGACGAATACCATACCCTACAGAAAACTGAGCATATATTCTTTCCTACAAACAAAGCCGAAAAAAACCCGGCAAAACCAACTCATCATCGACAGCAACAAATCATTAACTCACTTGGAAAGTTCAGACACAACAGTTGGTCTATCACGTTGAATCATATCTCCATGACCCAGTTGCCCTTTCTGCACCAAATCTTACAAATTAGACCCAAAACTTCAATAACTTAAAACACATGAGCGTGTGCATAAACTTCATACATATACCTCATTCCGTCCCCAAGTATAGCAGCGCCCTTCAACGTCCAATGCCACACAATGACAAGAAACTGCATTCTCACCGACGTAACACACTTTAATACACAACAGAATAACTTTCAAAAAAGTGAATGTCAAAAACAAACAAACTATTTTGTTAAAGTTACCGCAACCGGAGGCGACGAAACGAATATTAACACCAACGAGAGGACGGAGGCGCGAGGGAGAGACAAGGTTACCGTCGATGGCGCCCCTGCGCCGGCCAATGATATCCCAACCCGTGGCACCGCAGAACAAGAGTTCTCCCCCTTTGACCTCCTCCTTCTCTTCCTCCACCTTCTTCTCCGCTTCAGACGCAGACATTTCCCGTTCACTTCGGCGAGAGCAACGGTCGAAGGCTTTTTCGAAAACCGAAAAAAATGAAAAAAAATGAAAAATGGCAGATCTAACGGCTAGTATTCAAAATCTGGGTAAACGAAACGCGGGAAATGGCGGGAAAATATGAGGAGCGAGGGATAGGGTAAGGGGAGGAACTGGGTTTGCGCAGTGACAGTGGGGTGAAGAAGAAGAAACTGAAACCCTAATTGAATTTTACCGAGTGAGTGTGCGCGAGTACTCTCAAATATAAAAAAGGATAATAAAGAGTGGATTGTCCTTGGGTTTTCGAGAGTAGCAACCACAACCCAACTTTTGATTATTCATCTTAAATTATTATTAATTATTAATTAATTAATAAACAGAAAGAAATGGATAAAATTACTATTATCCATTAAAATATGAAAAGGGAAACAAATCGTCATTATTACATGGCAAATTAGATTTTGGCTCTGCTCTGTCACTCTCTGCAGATTTTCTTTTTCTTTTACTACTTTTATCGTCCCAATTTGTCCTTCTCTCTCTCCTTTCTTTCTCTTTATTATTATTCTTCAAGCGTAAATGCCACACTACGTTAAATTTATTTATTTTAATTCATAATTAACCATTAATAGAAAATGAAATAGCTTGTAGCACGCGCGCAATTAATGCTTCGTTCATGTGAGCAGAGATACTAGATCGACGGAACACAAGTACTCCCTCTGTCTCTGACCCTCTTTTCAGAATTTTCTTTATTTCTTTTCCTGGACCTGTTTTCAAATGAAATATAATTTCTTTTACTTTTAAATAAACGTTGAATATTTTGTACATGATATTTATTACCATTCAAACTAATGACTAAAAACATCTACAGAATTATATGATAGGATGTAATTTAAAGAATATCATAATCGGAAAATATCCTGAAACCAAAACTTATTTGCAAAAACAGAAAATTAGCCTGGTTGATCTTATTATTCTCTAGTGACTAGTAAATTTTGAATAAATAACGTGAAAATTGCATTTTCTTGTTTGTTTGAAATCACATAAAGATTAACAAAAGAAATAAACCTAGAATATAGACACGATTCTATAAGGCATATCGGAGATGCAATTGACTAGAGATAAAATGTTAGCTGAAGAAACAAAGGAAGAAGATTGCACAATATCCTGCGAGGGATAAAGACATTATCTTTCTCAAGGGTCACTAAGGGGGCATGGGAAGAAGAAACATGACTTTGTGGGAACAAGGAATCTAATGAGAAAATCAATGGGTGAGACAAAGAGCTTGAAGGGATGAAGTCGTATAATGAAATTAGTGAAAATATTAAGAACAAGGATGTCTTACAAGTTAAATATTATTTAAGTGAGAAGGTGTTATATTAGATTTTTGGTCAGTGATCTTAAAATTGGAACACCAAATGCGTAGTCATTATTTCGTCAACACCTTCTATTAATTCAGTACCACTCACAACTATCAATCAATTGACCCTCAAATCTGCCAAACAGTTTAACGGACACAATTGAAGGTTGAAGGAAAGACAAAACCTTGTAACTAAGCAACCGACAAAACTAAAAGTTATATCCTAATAAAATGAAAATATGGTTGAGGTTGCATACAAATATTATAATTTTCTGGAACAAAAATAATTATGTATGTGTTTGAGTGTTTGTGATTTGACAATGGTGTCGCGTGTTTTTATGCAATGGCACTATTTTTTCCTTTTTCTTCCATTATTTTATAACTATCACAAGTATGTGTTTTATCTCGCCAACTTTGGGACATAATTATTTATTGTAATAAAATATTTTTTTTCGTTTTTTATGAGATTTCATAAAACCATATTATAATTTGAATATGATTAATTTCAATTCCACTGTACGGATAAATATATTAAATATTTTGAACATAAATATGGTGACTTTTTGTGAAAAAAACTTATTAATGATTGACATTTTTTTTTTTCATTCTCGTTACAAATGCATTTATACCCTTTTACGTACACGTACAAATTTATAAAATCTCAATAATTTTTTTGTTTATCTGTTAGGACAAATTATTTATTACTTCGTCATGATTTATACAAACACATTTAATTTATTCAGTATAAATAAGATACCAATGAATACGATAGTCGTAAAAAATAATTAATTTTTAAATACTAAACAATGTAAAATTTACAAAATGTTAAATAATAATAAAAATTTGTTAACTATTATTACCTTAGGAGATCCACGGTATGCTTAATTTGTTCACGAATCACGCCTTTCTACATAATTATATTTCTTAATAATCATGTTTCGCAAAATATATTTGATTATTAATAACAATAGTAATAATAAATTAGAAAATACTTAAGAAAAAAACTTCTAATGCACACATTTCATCTTTTGTGGTATTATAATATTGTTAATTAGAATTAAATATATTTTATACTGGCTATATTTAATTTGTTATTTCTAATTTTGGAAATTATATTTTGAACCTCAGATGTCTACCTTCTCATATAATTTGTTTAAAGTTAAACATAATTGAGAAACTATTTCTAATATATTAGATTCTTTAAAAAAAATTATTCAAATTATAAAAATTTCATCCAATTAAAATTTGTTAAAAGTCTCGCATTGGTTGAAATAGCTATTAGGTTATTTTACACATTGATATTTGATTTTATGCTAAAACTTTAACCTAACATCACACTCAAAGTCTAACTTCTTTTAAATCATATAATTCATTGATATAAATATCTATTAGATTATTCTACATATTAAAAATAATTCTTTAGCTCAAAATATTGTCTTTTCTTTAAATTTTTATTCATTATTTGTTAACTTTATTTTACGTTAGGGTGTAAGTGGATTGTATGCAAACAGGAACCTTCCTAATTCGATTGAATTACAAATATATTTGACTGATGTCTCTACTTATGAGGAAAAAGGAAAAAATATAAATATACTTACACTAGTGGAAAAATAGCATTTTATGACGAGTTTTTATCACGGTCGTAATCCACCCGTCATGGTATGTAGCGCGGTGGCAATTTTGTAATAAAATCATAAAATTTCTATGTTGGGTAAATTTTAACCGACATAGTAAGTGGAAAGTTCACTTTCTATGTCGGTTAAATATTACCCGACATAGAAAGTGTCTTTGATGACGGGTGTTAGGGCAACCGACATAGTATCTTCTGTTTTACCACCTCACCCATAGCAGAGCTCCCCGTTCGCATGTGTACGTTTCTCCCTACGCTCCATTTCATTTCATCAGTTCATCCATAGCAGATCTCCCCGTTCGCCTGTGTACGTTTCTCCGCACCCACATTTGATCGTCACGCCACCTGCCAACGCTGTACGTCATGCCGCCTGCTGCTACTGTCGTTGGTGCCCGTCGCCTGTGATACGTTTCTCCCCACCCGGCTCTGCACGTCACGCCACCTGCCACCTCTGTAGGTCTTCAAGAGGTAAATTTTCGTGCTTGCTTTAGCCATTGTAGGTTTACAGTATTGAATATGGTAAGTAATAATGCTGTCAAGAGAGGGAAACATCACGGGTGCCTTTAGCTAATTTAGAGATGTATTGTAAGTAGTTTAGTCATTTGAATGTGTTTCTGTAGGCATTCTTTCGTGATTTTGATTTAGAAAATTAGATTTGTATTATAATGTAGTTATTTTGATAGTGGAGTTGGATTTCGTGTAGGCATTATAATGTAGTTATTTCGTGTTTCTGTAGCTAATTTGATTTTGAAAATTATATTTGTAACAATGGATCGAAGTTGGATCAATTATAGACGAACAACAAATGAATATGAGAGTGGAGTAGAACAATTCCTTGAATTTGCTAAGATGAATGTTCCGGATAATGATGGAAGATTCTATTGCCCTTGTGTTAACTGCTTGAATGAGCGAAGATTACCGGCTGAAGTTATTCGGGAACATGTTCTTTGTGATGGTTTCCTAAAGAGTTACATAAAGTGGACATGGCATGGTGAATTATTAAACATGCCAAGTGTAGAAGACAAAGAAGAAGTTGATCTAGAGATGGATGATCAGCTGGAGAAAATGATTCGTGAGCTTGGACAAGATGCCTTCCAACATACACATGTGTACGAGAAGTTGTCCAATGATGCAAAAGAGCCTTTGTATACAAATTGTACTAAGTTCACACGATTGTCGGCGGTACTAAAATTGTTCAATGTGAAGGCAAAAAATGGGTGGACTGATAAAAGTTTCACAGAATTGCTTGAGTTGTTGAGTGACATGCTCCCTGAAGGTAACACATTGCCAACCCGCAATTATGATGCTAAGAAGATATTGTGTCCAATGGGTATGGAGTACCACAAAATTCATGCATGTCCGAATGATTGTGTGTTGTACAGGAAAGAATTTGAGAACTGTCATGAATGTCCACAATGCGGGGAATCACGATACAAGAAGAAGGATGGTGATTCTGACAATGATGTAATGAAGGGTACCCCGGCAAAAGTGTTATGGTATCTTCCCATTGTTCCAAGGTTGAAACGATTATTCACTAATGGAAATGATGCAAAGCTCACTAGATGACATGCAGATAGTCGTATTAAAGATGGTCAGTTGAGGCATCCGGCAAATGGATTGCAATGGAAAAAAATTGATTCCATCTTCCAGAATTTTGGTAATGATCCAGGAAACATTAGGTTTGGACTTGCTACAGATGGAATGAATCCATATGGAAATATAAGCAGTAAACATAGTTCATGGCCTGTGGTGTTAGTTATTTACAACTTACCTCCGTGGTTGTGTATGAAACGTAAGTACTTGATGCTATCTTTGATGATCTCGGGTCCCAGACAACCTGGAAATGACATTGATGTTTTTTTAAGCCCATTGGTTGAAGAGTTGAAGATGTTGTGGGAGGAAGGTGTTGATGTGTTTGATGGGTACACATGTGACTTATTCAAGTTGCGTGCAATGTTATTTTGTACAATTAATGACTTTCCAGCATATGGTAATTTGAGTGGCTACAGTACAAAGGGACATAAAGCTTGCCCGATATGTGAAGAAGACACATGTCACTATCAACTACAACATGGAAGGAAAACAGTGTACCTTGGACACCGAAGATTTCTTCCTTCAAACCATTCATATCGTAAATTAAAAAAATCATTTAACAGGTGTCAAGAAAATGATGCAGCCCCAACACCTTTAAGTGGGGAACAAGTATATCAACGAGTAAGTGCGATTTCGTGTGAGTTTGGAAAGACGCAAAAGAAAGCCACAGGTATATGGAAGAAAATGTCAATCCTTTTTGTTCTTCCATATTGGAGGGTTATTGATGTGAGGCATTGTATAGATGTCATGCATGTAGAGAAAAATGTGTGTGACAAGTATCATCGAACGCTCCTTAACATTCAAGGAAAAACAAAAGATGGTGTCAATGCTCGTTTGGACATGGTTGAAATGGGTATAAGAGAACAATTAGCTCCTCAACCTCATGGTAACCGAACATACTTGCCTCCAGCATGTCACACACTGTCTAAAAAAGAGAAAAGAAGTTTTTGTGAGTTTTTACGAGGTGTGAAGGTTCCATTTGGTTACTCTTCCAATGTGAAGAGACTTGTATCTATGAAAGATCTAAAATTGCTTGGGTTAAAATCTCATGATTGTCATGTATTGATGCAACAACTTCTACCTGTGGCTATTCGAGGTATCTTACCAGAGAATGTTAGATATTCCTTAACTCGATTATGCTTTTTTTTAATGCCATATGTAGTAAAGTTATGGACCTGGATGTTTTGGATCAGTTAGAGAATGAGGCTGCAGTCATATTGTGTCAATTTGAGATGTATTTTCCTCCATCATTTTTTGATATTATGGTTCACTTGATTGTTCATCTAGCCAGGGAAGTTAGAATCTGTGGTCCAGTTTTCTTACGATGGATGTACCCTATTGAGCGATACATGAAGATATTAAAAGGGTATGTGAAGAACCAATATCGTCCTGAAGCATCAATTGTTCAAAGATATATTGCAGAGGAAGCTATTGAGTTTTGCACAAAATACTTATCAGAAGTTGAAGCTATAGGGTTACCTAAGACTCGTTACCATGGAATAGGTCTTGGTAGAGGAACTCGAGGTGCAAAAGTTGTGACAATGTGTCGAGATGAAGTACTTCAAGCGCATTTGTACATATTGAATAACAGTGAAGAAGTCATCCCCTACTTAAGTGCTCATAAAGACATTGTGAAGCGAAATAATCCACGTATGCCTAAAAAGTGGGTGATCACTGAACACAACAAGAGTTTTTTGAAGTGGTTTAAACAACAAGTTGAATGTGACAATACAGCTTCTGATACACTAAAGTGGCTAGCATGTGAGCCAAACTTTGATGTGATATGTTGGGGTGAGTATGATATAAATAACTATTCATTTTATACAAAGGGAGAAGATGAAATAAGCACAATGCAAAATAGTGAAGTCATGGTGGTGACTGAATCAATGCATTTCTCGAGTTCAAAGGATAAATATCCGATAAGGGCGTCAATGGGCTACTTTGGTGTAATTGAAGAGATTTGGGTAATAGATTACACGATATTCAGAGTACCTATTTTTAAATGTAAGTGGGTTGATTTTAATACTGGCATCTTCACCGACGATCTTGGATTTACCTTGGTTAACCTTGAAAATACTCGTTATACCGAAGAACCATTTATCATGGCATCTCAGGCAAAACAAGTGTTTTATGTCACTGATCCCGCTAACAAAGGATGGTCAGTGGTTCTACAAGGAAAACCCATGTATACTTCTCATGAGAATGATGAATTAGTACTTGATATACCAGAGACACCATGTTTCTCTTCAAATATGCCAAACTTGAGTGTTAATGTAGAAATAGATGATGTGCATGCCATACGTTATGACCATATGGAAGGATTTTGGGAGAATGTTCCAACTTGATAATGTATGCACTTTTTTTAATGTATTATTTTTTAATGTATGCACTTTTTTGTCTAAACTAATAACTATTATTTTTTTCTTTGAACACAGATATGACAGATTCATCTGGTACCCCTCCTCCTACACAGTCCCCCCCCTACACAAGGTGGTGATCAGAGTCAGCCGTCTACCAGGAAATGAACTGTCTGGAACTGAGGTACATATATTGATTTCAATATGTTTCATATGTACATATCTGTCTGTAACTGGATCTGTCTGTACTGGATATATATCTGTAACAAATTTATATATGAACTGTGCATATCTGTCTGTACTGGATCTGTGAATATTTGTCTGGAACTGTGATGAATAGGCAGGTCTACTCGAAGAAATGTAGCATCTGTAAAAAAAATGCAGGTATTTTAAAAAAAAATAACACTTTCTACGTCGGTTATGTCATTACCCGACGTAGAACATTTTATGTCGGTTATAGGCATAACCGACATTGATAACACATACAATCACGGTTACTGTTAACCGATATAGATACTGGGGTTATAGAAAGTTAGAAAGTAAGACTTTCTATGTCGGTTCCCTGACTAACCGACGTAGAAAGTCTTTCTATGACCGATCAGAACCAGTTATGATCGATCAAAACCAGTTATGATCGATCAGAACCAGTTACTTTCTACGTCGGTTATTAGGAACCGACGTAGAAAGTCTTACTTTCTATGACCCCGTATCTATGTCGCCGCTTTAACCGATGTAGAAAGCCCATTTTAACCGATGTAAAAAGCCTTTTTTGCAGTAGTGTTAGTATAAATGGTAGTTTTTTTAAGTATTTTGTAATAGTTTAGATATTTGTTTCATAACTATTATTTTATAATAGTTTAAGAATACTTGTTTACCTGATGTAGGCACCGATTAAAGTCTTCAATTTGGCAGAAATGAGGCTACTTGTGTACATGGATTCAGAACATCAGAGAATGTTTTTCATTCTTCCAACTTCGTCTACAGACCGCAATTTGTCAGTGTGGTATCTAAACAGTGTTGTGGGTGATGAGATGAGAACAACCGTTTTGCAGTTATCCCTGACTGATATAGTAGCTGCGGAAAATTTGTAATCTGACACCACGCACGGTTAGGCTGCGTACAAGTGAACAGCTTGAAAAATCGCTTGTCTAGTTTCTCAGAGTATTCCTTCACGCAGTTCTCAGCAAATTCACAAATGAATTTGTTTATAGATCAAATCACATTAAAGTTTTCTAAAAATATTTTTGTGCCCGTGCTTGTAATATTTTTATTTAGTATTTTTTGGAAGCTGGAGTTTCGACAGATAGGTACACACCTAAGGGGCAATGTCACATGCACGCAAAGAAGTTCAAGTTATAGAAGGTAATGCCAGTATAGAATTTCCAGCAACTAATAAAGGCAGAAAAAAGTGGGTTCATGGCAACCAAAACATTGGAATACTCCTTGCACACCCTTACAAAGTACTGTAACCAAACTTGCAAGCATTTCAATTTACAACCACGATTGATCATCCATCTCTGACTTCAATCAAAATTTAAGTGAAGGCATAAAATAAGCATTTAAGAGAAAATTGTAAAAATTAAAAGCAAATTAATATTTAGCACTAAGTTTGAAAAAAAAAAGTTTTAAAATTACCAATAAATTTACAAAGAATTTTAAGATTGGGAAAATTTTAAGAGCAAGATTTAAAAAAAAAAATATCAATTAAGAATTGTCTCGAGAAAAGAGAGTATAATTAAAATTCTTCAATTGTGTGTGTGTGTTTTGGTATATTAAAGTTGATGATAACTGATACTTTTAAATACAAAAAATCCTTAAAAACAGAAACCCGGTATCTGAAGTTTTTTGAATCAGCATGCCATAAACACGTTAATCAAGTCATGAGAGTCGGGTAACCCAGGTAGACGTCAACTATCTTCTCCATATTCGCTTTTCCTCCTGTAACAATCACCAATAGAAACTAAACTCATAGTCATAGATAGGTCCAACGTGGAGGGAAAATAGCAAACAAGAAACAGGGAAATAATTAACATACATAGTCGATTATACATACTAACACAGATAGGGTTCCAGGATGACTGAGGACACGAGTCTACAATTATTCGGGTTTAAGAACTAGATGGATTCACCAAGACTATCTAACAACTATTTATCCACCATGCAGACTTTTTACACATGCCATCGGTGCCACCAGAACATCTCAGAAGATTAAATACGTAAAAATGGCAAGGATGATTGATAACTTAGTCATTTCTTCAACCCCTTCATTTAGCCAACATCCAGCACTATTACGCATCCTAAATATAGGTACGGGCATACTATAATCATTAAGCTTTCCCAGATGACGTTTACACTAGACATTATTTTCCTCGCTCGACTTGATAATCCATAATTGATCGCTAAAAGCTGTTTCTAATCATGTAATGTTGCCCCAGAAACAATTTCTCACCATCTACTTTATTGTGATGTATCGGTTGGTACCGTGTTTGGCCCAATGGTCCTTCAGGTCAACAGGGTTTGACAGATCATGACCTTCCGCAGCAAGGCGACTAAGCAGCTTGTTGAAAGCGCTACCACTCATCTTCCTACCTCCAACCCGTGCATGCCTCTTGTTCGGCACTGCAGGAAGTGGATACATTGACAGAGTGGTTGTGCAACAGGCAGACTGCCAACCTCCATTACCCCATTTGTAACACTGCTTCAGGACACCAGTACAAGAACATACTGGCGCTGGCATGGTTGACTCATCATAAGCCACTTGGTTCAATCCCAAGTCCTGACCTTTCCAATCAGCCTTAGACACTGCTATCTGCTTGTTAAGATCATCACTTCCGTTGACCATTTCCTGACCACTCTTCCACTCATGTGCCTTGCCAAACATAACCTTATTCAGGTCTTCGCTCTCCTTTTTTACCTTTTTTGCTGCTTTGGTAGTCTTCTTATTAGGTGAAGTTGACTTTGGTTCCTTAGGCCGCTTGGCCCGTCTTGATTTCCCAGCCTCAGAAGTGATGGGGGCTGCAGGGAGGGCATCGGTTGTATGCATTTCCCGTGTGTTGTAAGAAGGATCACCCATGTTAGGTATATGATGTACCTGTTGCTGGGGATGATGTATATGCTTGACACCACGTGAAATTTGGCATCCCGGAGGGCATGATGGCATACTGCCACTACTTAAGGAGCTTTCCCGATACTGAAGAGTTGCAATCGCATTGTCTCGTTCCAAAATTGCATTATTTCGTTCCGCAATTGCAGCATCTCGCTGCAAGAATGCCATATCACGCTCAGCATATGCTGCCTTCTTCTCAGAAATGGCCAGATTTCTTTCTTGAATGGCTGCATCTCTTTCGGCCATAATTGCCATGATCTGCTTCATGGAAGGCTGATGTTGCATCAACCACTGAAACGCAAAGTCAGTATCTTTATTAACAGAGAGCACGCTGCAATTACCAGTTGTTTGTTTCTGCAAAATTGAATAGCAAATTTGTTGATGAATTTATACATGAGAATAAATGTATTTTCATATACCTGTCCCTGAGCAGATTTATATTGATCTGCTTTGTGCCTTCCATTTTCACGATGCCCAGCATCATCCATCAGAAACACAATCGGTGGCAAAAACTAAATATTGACTCTAGGCTTCCTCAACCAGTATGGAACTTGCTTGATCAAACAACAGTATGCCAGAAATCCTGCATTCATAACAATTCTTCACAGTTTATATTGGCAACTTGGGATAGTTAGTGTATCTCTTTCATCCTATTCTTTCTTAGGGTGTAGAATATTGGGTAGGAAGGCATCACTCTATCAATAATTCCCATGAAGAATGGATGTCACAAAGTTTAACATACTTACCATGCCTATACATAGGGATAGCAGGTACTTGATCAAAAGTAAACAAACCTAGACAAGAATGTGACTTGGTAAGTTTACATAAAATAATGAATGAAACTTGCAAACAACTGCCACTATATAAAAAAACTTGCATAATCGGCCTCAAGAACATCTGGGATAAAAATATTGCAGGGAAACGTGGGCAAATTTGGGGTTAGAAAAGGAAGTCTAATGCTCTTCATATATGATTTAAATACTTGCATTTAAGCATAAAAACAGTTTAAAAGTTTCCAAAAACCTTAAAAAGAAATAACGGAACAACAGGACATGAACGTCAGACATGGTAGTAATGTAGTTGTAATGTAGTAGTAAACAGAGTTACTACAGCAACATTCATTAATAGTAGTAATGCAGTGAGCAGTTAGCACAGCAATTAAAATAGAAAAATCCTAAAGTTCCAGAAATTACCACAATATCATATCAAAGTTGTTAGTCATTATTAGTATTTCAGAACTTCCATGGAAAAGATAAAGAAACATAAAGGTACTACAAATGAACAAACATAAAGCATATTGACCTGGGGTACGGGGCAAGAGGTAACATGAGTGGATAGAAAGAATTCTCATGTGATTATAATATAATTCATGAATAAATATCACACAAATAACGATGACAACCATATGACCAAGGTCCTCTTCAAACAGTGCTTCCCTGACAGGAAGGCCAAACTCCGAAATCCAATATCATTTGACAGAAAAACAAATTTTAAATGCACTGTTCTGAAATATAATTTTCATCCAAAATCCGGAAATGTCCTCTGTTGATGGTTGTTGATCAATGATTGCTGATCTAGCATTTTAATCTAGAGATGAGCGTTAATACAAACATTTAAGATGAACAAGAGGAAAGGGAGACACAACAACCTCTTGATCTAATCCGAGTGAAGCAACGAACCACACAAAAATTCTTCGTTCTCCAGTGCAACATGAAAACTAAAAAAATATGGAAAACCAAAGTGGAAGAGTACTGCTAAATGAAATAAGGTGAAAAAGTGATCAATCTGGAACTCAAATATTTAGATACAATTAATTACAGCAAAACTGAAGTTTATTTATCAAAAAAGAAAAACGCATTTATGACCTGATGGGTAACAGGATATCAATCTATATCTATTCTATGGCCAAATGGATTATATTCTTTTTACTACCTAAAACTATATTCCTCTCCACTACGTTCAATAAATGAATATAACTGAATATCAATAAATATATCTTTGCCCTCACTTGTTTTTCTTCTAACCAAAGACAAACTACCCAAGACAGTAGCTACTAGCTCATTTCCATTGTCAGTAGCAGCACTTTTTTGGACAGAATTCTGAATAAATATTTATTTGAAAAAATAAATGAAATAATAAATATTTATGTGAAAAAAATAAGTAAATAAAATAAGTTTGTCCAATTAACTAAAATCAAATTATGCAGCATAAATCTAAAATCAAATTATACACTTCAATTTTCATAAAAGGCCTTCCATCTAATTTCTCCAAAAACCAATTTTAGCTTCTAATTTTCTTCACCTTCACCCAGAAGTTCATACAAAAGACAAAGCTAAATCTATTTTCACAGCCCCTCCTTATATGACGGGGTCAATGAATAACAAAACTGAAACGCATTACCGTACAAATAATTTTAAAGCCACAGCTCCTAGATCTCCAAAACGGTTGAAGATCCAAATTTTCAACTAATAACCGATTCCGAGACAGTGAAACGTCGCACCCGAACTAAAAGCCGAAAGACTAAAACTACAAGGAATTAATAAAATCTAGAAGAAGCAATTGCAGCGAACTTGAGCAATTAGTTCAGAGCATAACTGAAAGCAGAGGATACACAAAGTTCGGACACTCGAAGGGGAGAAATAGCAAGTCAAAGCAAGTCAAAGACAAAACGAAGCGAGAAATTGAAGGTGGAAAGAAACCCTAACCTCTGCGAGAGAGAAAGAGAAGAGCAAAGGAAATCGTGCGGCACTAGGTGGGGATTTTTACCTGGTTATGTCTGTATCTACTACCTACGCAACGCCACTTTCTTTATGGCCATTTTCTTTACTTCCTCAACTTTTTATTTTATAATAAATCAATATATTAAATAATATATTTTAAACAAATTGATATAATGATATAAAATAATAATTTTTTTCTTTATTTATTGTTTATTTTATTTTATCCTTTTTATCTTTTTTTTCTTTCATTATTTTAATTAAAAATTTTATATTAAACTTTTTTCAATATTAAAAATAATTAAATATTTATTTTTAAATTTTTAAAAACTATTTTTTAAAATGATTTTTAATTTAACTAATTATTATAAATTAATCTAACTAATTAAATTAAATTACTTATAAAAAATTATTTAATTTTTTAATTAGGTGAATAATTAATTTACTAGAATAAAATTATTTAAAATTAAGTAATTATTATATAATTTTAAATAATTTATTGTTTTTTAGTTTAATGTTGATTTTTAAAATTATATTTAATTTAATTTTCTAATTAAAATAATAAGTGAAAAGGAAAATAATATTATGAAAAAAAAGAAAATAAATAAAAAATGAATAATATATTATTTAAATAAAAAAATAAAATGCGTGAGTTATTAAGTTACCATCTCGTGTCTTTTTTTTTTTTTTTTCACTTTCAACCATCCAATCACAATGCACATGGATATTTATTTGTGGTATTTTTTCTTTTCACCTTTTCTAATTATTTTCAGTTATTTTCCCTTTTTGATCTTCACTTTAAGAAAGCTAAAACCGGCCATGCTGCAAAATAATTAATACGGACAAAGAAATTATTCTTTTTATGGCTAAAGTTGTGTATAAAAACATTTTTGATCCATCCATTCGATGTAATTTAGATGCATGATGAATGTGCAAAACTTGAATAGTTAGAACAGAGAGTGAAATGTGATGTTAAAAATTGAAAAAAAAAAAAAGATATTGAGATGAATGATAGTGTTAGGGTTACGAAACGAGTGACATAGGGCACGTGCCTTAGGGTTGTGATTTGTTGGGTTGGTGGAAAGTAAAGATTAGATGGGTGTTTACGTTACTGGCACTGCTCTTATTGCTTGCCACCAGTTCATTCATGCAGTGCTTTTTATTTCCTTTCACAAAGTTGGAGGTGAACTTAATAAATACAGGGTGAGAAAAACAAATCAGTGGGAACTTCTTTTCGTTAGCAATTTAGAAGACGCATGGCCCAATTCCTCTTTCATGCTTTATTTTTTTTTCTAGCTAGTTTGGCTTCGATATTATAATATTAGGATCTTGCTTCTTTTCCCATAATTTCTTCCTTATTGTTCATATATCTCAATTTAAATATTTAAAATATCTTTCAATAATTTTATTTTACATCCTAACTTTTTTTTTGTTTTGTATATCTCTTAATACTTTTATTTAAAGTATTTTTTAATAATTAAAAATAAATAATCATTAATATTATATATAAATTATATTTTTTTATATTTAAATTATACAATCAAATTAAAATTGTTCAATCTAAAATAATATTACGAACATGAATTAAATTCTAAAAATACATGTCACTAAATAAATTTTTCTAAAAATGTATTTAGATTAAGTTTTTTAGAATGCATTCTCACGAAAGAGTGAGTGTTCTAAAATTTATTTATAGAAAGATGAATCTAAAATACTTTCAAAAATAAAAATGAACATAAATATTAGAATAAAATAGAGTTTAATTTAATTATTGGGGGAAAGGAAAAAATTATGGAAATGCAGTAATCAACCGCCATAATCGTAACGCAGGTTCAGCTTACGTGTTCGTGCTACACGGTTGGGCTTTGCCTTATTCAGGAATATAAAGATGTCAGCTTTATTAGCTTAAGAAATAATAATAAATAATAATAAGATTTAGATTACTAAAAAGAAAATATCATATCATCTCTAAAGTGATTATTTTAAATTTGAAATTTATTATTAGTTATAAATTAGAATTTTTAAATTCATGTTTTTTGTTAACATTCAAAATATTTACTATTAAAAATCAATTTTATCATATTTAAAGTTCTTACAAAGTTATAATGTATTTAAATGTGTTTTTAGAGAGTAGCTAATTTTTTCGAGAATTTGAAATTTTTCGTGACCAGTTATTTGAATAATAATTTTTTAAAAGTTAAAATTTACAAATTTATGAAGGTAACTTTGATTATTTAAAATTACAAAATTTGAAGTCTACTAGAATTAAAATTTTAAATTCTCCCCATTCTCAAGTTGAAACATGATGATTGGTTACATTTTGTCGATATATACATAGTCGTATAACCAATTAATAATAAAAAAAAAAAACAAAATATTCAAATTCAATAATTTAAATTTTTGAAAAAAATTCTAAATTAAATGTCAAACAATTATAATTACAATAAATTGAAATAGAGGCAGAATGAGTTATTCTGAGTTGGAAGAAAAACAAAGAAGAAATCATTGCATCTTGATCCAAACTCCCTCGCTAGGAACGTGTTGATGAACTGCAAATATGATATAAAACGAGGGTGGTGCAAGAACAGCTGAACCAGGCGCCGTCACCTCAAATTCACAACTCGAATTCCCCCTAACCTTAACTTCACCCATCGACAACACCAACAACCTTTGATTCATGGAAAAAGAGTGCGTGTTAAATGGCGCCGCAAACATCGTCACGGACAATAACTCAGGCACAAGGGTTCCTTTCACCTCAATACTCATCTTGAATTTCTCGCCATAAATCAAGTTCGCATGAGAAGAAGGCTCTAAAATAATGGGACGTAGAGGTGAAAACTGAGAGTCCAAATACTGAGGAGAAAACGCTTCCAAACTCAACTCCGTAGGGTACGACACATTTGAGAACATGTATTTCTCGTGAGGGTTGCTCCCACCTACGATAACTCTTCCATCACGAACCAAAATGGCCGTCGAATGGTACATCCTAGGAATGTTCGAAGCGGGTTGCAGCACGAACCGCGACCCAACTGAACCGTTTGGTTTATATATAACCGGTTCAAGAGCCGGATTATCCGCCTTCTCCCACCCCGCCGTTCCCGATTTAGCTCCGTTTATAATCAAAACGTCGCCGTTGGGGAGCAGGACCATGTCGTTCATCACGCGCCCCATCGGCATGGTCTCCACCACCCACGTGGCATTCGGATCCGTGATCTTAATCCTTGCGCAAGAATCCAACGCTTGGGAGAAAACTCCCCTGGGCACAAGCTGATAAGCCCCTCTGCGGGCCCCACCGCATACCAAAACCTCAGCCACCACCCTCGCCGCTTCCAAATTCTTCAAAGGTAGCAAAACCGCGGAACCGGTACTAGGATAAGACCTAGGGTCTCCCCCGGGTATCTCGGGGTACGTTCTCACAACGGCGTCGTTCTGGTAATCAAACAGAATCGCACGGTTGTTGGCGAAAATAAAAAGATTTCCGTCCACGTTTAAAACAACAAAGGGATAAAGATTATTCTCTGCACCCTTATCATTGGTCTGTACCAGAAACGGTAACACGAAGGGTTTGTTATTCTCTGTTATTTTTCTCTTGGGGAAGAACTCGTAGTTGAATTGCCTTCTTCCTCCGATTATAATCTGTCGTTCATCTGGTAAATAGTGATTGGTGGCGTACCATCTTCTTACGGCGAGGGCATTGTCGGTTTCTTGCCACTCACAGTCCTCAGGCGATTCACATGGAGCGAAGGACCTTACTTTGCGTTCGCCGTCGTTGTATCCGCCGGTTTGGATGAGGGTGCCGTCTGCGATGACTCCGCCGGAGGAGCACCAGACGTCGGTTTGAACGAACAGGGCGCGGAAGGTGTTGGATGCTACGTCGTATTCGACTGAGTGAGCGGTGCAATCTGTTTCGAGAACTTTGTCGGAGGGGTCGCTGCGGCACTTGCCATTGGGGAGGGTGAGGTTGGAGTAGCCGAAGTCGGTGCGGTCGAAGATGATGATACGGTCGTTGTTGAGGAGCTGCATGTGCATGGCAACGATGCCGATGTTCTTGTGTAGAAGCTGCCATTGGGCGTTGTTGGAGGCTACGGAGGGAAAGGGAAAGATAATGGAGAGGAAAAGAAGGTGGAAGAGCATGATGGTAGGTAGAAGATGAAGGGTAGTCATAATTGGAAGGTGGGATTTGAGTTAATGCGTTGAAGTTGAGGTTCAATGAGTGTTGTTGCATGCAATTGTATAGTCTTTAAATACTGGTGCATTTGCAGCACTGCGCTCTTCTATATATGCGTGCACTGTTGCATTCGTTGACACTTTGCAAGGGTATTATGGTTCAGAACACTAGTATTTTGGTTCATTGTTTAAGGTTTATTTAATACACTTTACAGTTTCAGCAAAAAAAACATACACTTCATTGATTTTTTTTAATTGCTTCAAAACAAATATTTCGGATTTTCAAATTCTTCGTATGTAATACATTGAATTTCTCTTAAAAAATAGTATATGTATTTATTTTTTTAGTCATATAATTTTAAGGGTGGTGATATTTTGGCACCACTGTTCATTTTATACGTCACTCTACAATTTATAATAATAATAATAATAATAATAATAAATATATAAATTTAAAAGGTTTTATTAATATTATATTATTAAAATTGGGTTGAATAAGATATTTGATAAGTAAGAGTGTCAATTTGTTATATTAGAGCTTTTCACTGTCCATATTCAACAAACTAAAATATAATTTTGAATTTTTTATAAACAAATTATTATCAGTATATCGATTAATAACTAATCACAAAGATAAATATTACGATTAATAACTACTCATAAAAATCAAGTATTACACTTCATAACAGCTCGCAAATTTGTTTCCAGTAAACACAGCTTGTTGACATATTTTAAATATTCTAAACATATCTGAATTTTGCATTACTTAAAAATATATTAAGTTTAGTTCTTGTCACTACAGAAATTTGCAAAAACAATTAATGTAATGAAGTTCTCAATTTAGAAAAAAAAAACGACTCAATGATAAAAAAAATTGCTAAAAAATAATTGTAAATCCTTTCCGATACTAGATAAATTGAATGCTTTATTAAATTCCAAAATTGAAATGATAGTTACAAGTCTTGGCAAAACCAAAATCCTAACTTTGGATGCATGCATTGCACTATTTTGTATCCATTGTTCAGGTTCATGAATGGTTGTCTGCCAATAGTAATTGTAACTTTTGATGTGGTGAGTGAATGAGGACAGTGTTTGATTTGCACCTTCCATTACGTACTTATACTTTTACTTGTTAATAAGATTATTACCATTATCTTTTAATTTCACTTAATATTAATTAATCTATACTTGTATTACTAATACACACTGGTGATCGAAACAAATGCCCGTGAAGGAGAGAATTCAGAGTTGATTGAACGTAGCAGTGCGATCTGATACAATACAGCGATACACAGTGTTCTGCAGAAAGTGCAGAACCCAATGAAGCCATTGCCCTCACTTGTTATGTTTGTTGAGCTTATGACTCTGATCCATTATGAAACTTGCTTCATCAGAATTCACTTTCATGTCATCTGACTTTGTGTTTGGCCACTTCCTGCACTGCACTTCACCTCACCCAACATTATTATTAATTTCATATCTCATCTTTCTTCATAAGTTAAAAAGTCATATATATCTCATACATTTTAATGTAAAAAATAAAAATTTAATAAATTTTTACTATATATGTATTTATTATTATATGAATTTTATTTTAATTTAATTATTCTAAAATATAATTTATAAAAATAACATATCAATTTATATTAATAACTTAAAATATATATATATATATATATTATTATTAATAATAATAATTTTATTATTAAATTTATTAAAATATTTAATTTAAAAATAATAAAATAAAATAAAAAATACGGTGAATCACTCCACCCGTCACCCTTTGACATAACAAACTAAAACCCATACTCCGTTACTATTATAACCGGGTAGCCAACCCGTCTGTTTGTCATCTATTAACAATATAATATTTATATCTTTCAAAGGATTGAAGAGTAATTTACTCGTATTATTTACGCGGTCAAATAATAAGAATAGGATATTGGAAAACTCAACACCATCATTAATATGCAGTTCACAACTCCATTTTAGTTACATAGATATGTTCCTACATAAATGATAAGTCCTGATAAAGAAAATATTTGAGGAGAAGTTTATAAACATAAAATCTAAATAAATAACATATATTATGGGATACAAAATGGGATTAATCAGACTAGTTAAGGGATGGATTGATAGTTTTATAACCTCTCAGTTTATTTTGACTTATTTAGTCTGTGAACTTAACTCAACATACAAAAAATAAAATGGAGTTTGTTTTGAAAAATATTTATATATTAAAATTAAAATTAAAATAATTATAATTAAAATATTTATTATATTTTTTTGTGTTATGTTATTGAAATATATAAATATATTATAATTTTATAATTTTAATTATAAAAACTAATTAATTAAATGTAAACAATTGATTATAATTAATAATTTTAACATATATAATTCTCTCTATATATAATTTATTAACAGTAATAAAAAAAAGGAAAAAATAATTATATATTTAAAAAGAATAATTTAAATGGACAAATTTAATTAAATAATTAAAGTAATTAATAATTGAATATAAATCTCATTTTGAATATTAATCTTTTTTTATTAATACTATAGAAATTAATTTTATAAAATAAACTAATAACAATGGTAAGAAACATATATATTTTTTTAAGTCAAAGATTTATATCCAACAACAAAAAATTTAATTGTAAACAATTGTAGTAACTAATTTTACAGAGCGTTACACTTTTAAAAAACAACAATTAGATTCCTCAACTTTAAGATGAAAATGACAATACATAATTAAATGGCATTGATTTATTTGAACTAAATTTCTCAACGCATGCATGCTAATGTGAAGTGTCACGTTTTGCCTTGCTGGTAGTACTAGCTCATTGAAAAACATTTAATGTAAGTGTTTATAAGATATTTTTATGAAAATTTACCTTGTTTTATTTTATGTCAGTTTTATTATGTTATGCATATTATTCTTAAGATTTTCTTGAATTTTTTGTTCAACAAATTTGTAGGATTGGTAGCTTTATATTTAAATTTTTTACAATTGTAAAAAATAATTTAATTATTATACTTAAACATTTATTTAGTTTGAAAATAAACATCTTATACAAATTTGATATCTTAAATTGAATACATCAGTATACAAAGATAACATGTTCTAATAGAAATTTGTTGTAAAGCCTAGACATTAATTTTGAAGATTTTCCCATTGGATTTGCTTTTTATCTGCTCATGCATACTCACCAAAGCTTAGCTCAAATAGTTCTCGCACACACATAAAAAAAATCAAGATTAAGCAAAACACTAACACAACGAGTTGAGGAAAATAATTGATTCTTCACAGTAGTTGATTAATTTATTGTTTCTAATTGGGTGGAGATTTGATATTTATATTTTGCTTATTCTATAAACTTATTTAGTTTTACCAATTCCTTCATCACTAAGTTCTATTATCTGAACTACCATTTGCATAAAAACAAACATGAATTGGATTAGCAGGATAACACTATATTTTGGTTCACGCTCCACTTTTTTTTTTCTTTTTTTTACCTTTCAAAATTATTGGTTCAGGTTTCATCATACACAGATTAAGATAGCTTCTGTATATGAGTAACTGCACGAGACAGTAGCGTCTTTAAGAGTTTTTTTGTTTTATGTACGACAAACATTTAGCCTAGGTATTATAAGAACTAAAATAGTAGTAATTAGTATTTTAGTACGACAAAGAGTTATTTTGTATGATTAAATAATAAATATTATTTTTTAATAAATATTTATATTTTTTGTGATAAATAATAGTGTTCTAAAATTAAATTATCGTGATTTTTCTTTTTGTATTAAAAGTGAAATAGAGAAGGAAAAAGTAGGAAGGGAAGATGTATGATATATAGATAAGAAAATGTATTATTTTAATGGATAAAAGAAAGAGAATCGAATATTTCCTGTCCATCTTCGTAAATGAGATAGCAAAATTTAATAAATAGATAATATATATTATTTTAAAAAAATGAAACTCTAAAATTTATCTTTTTACTTCATTATTTTCTAAAAAAAGTACCACAAAAAAAATACTTCGTTTATGAGATTTTTCTTCGTGGTCCCATTAAAATAGCTTAGTATATTTGTTTCACTCTCAAATAAATTAATAAAATTTTGATATTTCTAAGTTGCGTTTCTCCTTTTCATTTTCTTTCTCCACAATTCCCCTCTAAAAAAAATAGTTTTAAATATATTGCTTATTAATTTGATAAGAGAATGAAGGATAATGTACATAAGAAATATGTAAGAATTGAAAAGAATCCATAAACATTAATTACAACCCCTAGTGTGAAGGGCATCATTTACATGCCCCCGTAAATAATTTTATTTTCTCATATCTTACAGTTAATAAATGCCCACCTAAGAATCTGTTCAATCCTTGCAATTCACAACATCAAATAACTTCGAAGAAGAAAACACATATACTAAGAACGAAGGAACATGTTGTAGCGACGAAAATTCACACCATCCGAACCCAAATACCCTGGCTTGGGATTTCTTGATGAACCATAAACAACAGATAGAAACCCGGTGGTGCAAGAACACTGGAACCCGGCGCCTTAACTTCAACCTCGTACGACGTCGATTTCCCAACCTGCCTCAAACCCTGCGGCTCCAAAACCAACAACCTCTGGTTCATGGAGAACGAGTGCGTGGCAAAAGGCGGCGCCAGCATCGTAACCGACACCGAATCCTTAACCAAACTCCCGGTCACCTCAAACCCAACCTTCAACGTCTCACCGTACTTCACTTTTGTTTGGGACGCAGGGGACACTATTGTGGGACGCACGTTAGAGAACCCGGGCTCAAGATACGAAGGTGAAAACGCTTCCAACCGTAATTCCGTTGGGAACATCACGTTGGTGAAATTGTAATACGTGTGAGGGTTGCTCCCAGCCACAAGGACGCGACCATCACGAAGCAAAACGGCACTCGCGTGATACATTCGCGGAATATTAGACGGGTTTTGGAGCTCAAATCTCGACCCGACCCGGTTATTTGGTTTATAAAGAAACGGATTCAACACAGGGTCCCGCCCCAGTTCCCAGCCCGCAGTCCCTACAGAAGCTCCATTAATAATCAAAATGTCACCGTTTGGGAGCAAAATCATGTCACTCATGACTCTCGCACCCGGCATGGTTTCCATCACCCACCTCGGACTCGGGTCGGTTATTTTCATCCTAGCGCACGTTTTTAAGGCTCCGGTAAACCGACCGGAGAGGGAATCCAGAAAAGCTCCTCTCGGGGCTCCACCGCAAATTAAAACCTCAGCTTCCACGTTCGATTCTCGAAGTTTCTTCAACGGAAGCAAAACCGCGGAACCGGTGCTAGGATAGCAGCGTGGGTCTCCACCGGGTATTTGAGGGTAGGTTTTGACGACGCGGTTCTTATTGTAATCGAATAAGATAGCGCGGTTGTTAGCGAAGATGAAAAGGTTGCCATCGACGTTTAAGAAAACAAAGGGGTAGAGATTATTTTCCGCTAAGGCGTCGTTTGTTTGAACGAGAAAAGGTAAACTGTAAGTGTTCTTAACCGTGGTTTGTGTCTTGGGGTAAAACTCGTAGTTGAACTGTCTTCTTCCACCAATTATTATTTGTCGTCCATCTGGCAAGATCTGATTGGTGGCGTACCATCTTCTTGCCGCGAGTTCATTGTTAACTTCGCGCCAGTCGCACATGCGGCACGGGGTGAGGGTTCTTACCGTACGGTCTCCGTCGTTGAAGCCACCGGTTTGGACTAATGTTCCGTCGGGAGAAACCGAACCGGAGGAGCACCAGACGTTGGTTTGGACGAAGAGCGCGCGGACTGTGTTGGCTGCGACGTCGTATTCGACGGAGTGTGCGGTGCAGTCGGTTTTGACGACCATCTCTTGTGGGTTGTTGCGGCATCTACCGTTGGGGAAGGTTAGGTTGGATAATCCGAAGTCGGTGCGGTCTAGCATGATGACACGGTCGTTGTGCAGGAGCTGCATGTGCATGCCGACAATGCCGATGTTCTCTTGGAGGAGGTGCCACTGTCCCTTGCCTGCTTCCGCCGGCGAAGGCGGTGCTACGAGGAGGATGTGAAAAATGAGAAGAGGAATAATATGGAGGGAAAGTGAAGGGGTCATTGGTGTGGGGAATGGTTGGCGTGGAGAACAGTGAAGAGTGATAAAGTGGTGGGGTGAGATAAGGTGCAGTGCAACATGGCGTGGCTGCTGCGGGCTTTAAATACTTCTGATATGAAGTGTTGAGGATGAATGATAGAGAATCTGTGAAATACTTCTCCCACACGCAAGGGAACGCGTGGGATACTATTTTCTTCTTTCTCCTTTCTGCAACTTATTTTTTGCACGCTCTAAATGATTCACATTTTTTTGTTACAACGTGGTTTCTTTCTTTGTGTTTTGTACATGATTCTTCCTTTTTAAATTATATACATACATATATATATAATCTTTTTTTCTTCTGGCTTTTACAGAAAAGGTTCCTGAAATGGCGAGTAGCTGCAGCTTGCAATGGCTGATTTGGTTGGGCTTTTATTTCCACTCTCGATGGTTGATTTTGGACAAGTTGTGGAAAGTAAAGTGAAACTCCTAGGGAGGAAGATAAGAGGAGGTACCCTATCACGGCCGAACACATCTCTAGAGTCTAAAGCGAATTTCAAGATGAAGTTTGTCAATTCAAAAAATGGAGTTAAATTCTAATCTATAGTCTAAAATGAATTCTAAGAAGGGAAGTTAAATTTCGTCATAATTTATACAATAATAATTTTTTTGATGAAGGTGGATATGTATGTGATACTCGAACTAATTAGAGTTAATTACTATTTGTAATATATAAAATATTATAATAATTTGTTTACTTAAATTAATGAGTAATTAATTTAAAAATTGATAAAAAATATTAAAAATATGACCATTTGACTAAAATGAATAATTATTTGATTTTAGTTTTGTTGAAAATGAATACTTTAAGAGACAATTTATTTAATTCAACTAATGATTAATTAATAGTAAATTTGGTGAAAATTAGAAAGTTTATTCGGGAGAGTAACAATATTAAAGATATTATAAAAATAAAACTAACAATTCAATTATAAACTACTTTTTTGGATGGAGAGGAGAGGGGAGGAAAACAATTAAACGAGTCCGATCCTGTAATATAAGGAAGTAATCTTATAAACACTCTCTGCTAATATTACTTTCTTTCAATTCATCAGTATTTTCATTCTTGCATTAAATGCATGAATAAGACATATGGTGTCCCAGAAACAACAGCAATCTAAGTATACACATACATATATGATATTGTTGTTTAAAAGTAACAAGATGATGTGGTTTAAAAAACCGAGGTAAGAACATAAATTGCTGTGATTTACGAACTGATGTTACTAATACTTGGTCTATAAGAGGAAACAGACATGTGGTTCTACAGCAGATGAATTTATTCGAATATTGTTCACCATTTAAAGCTTCATTTGACAGAAACGTTGAAGACAATAATTAACTAACCAGACGCCTATTAAAATGGAATCTGAGATTAGACAATGAATGGGTTTTGAAATTCAGTCTCAACTACCTAACTTGTGAAAGCCTGAGTTTTGAAAATTAAGAAGTTGATTTTGTGAAGAAACTGCATAATATTCTCATACTTTCAAAGTTGCACAAAAATTAGTCTTGTAAGCAATTCGTAGATTTGGAGTGCATGCCATGTAAATTCCCCCTTTGAATTGTAAACACAATAATGCAAAGACTTAGCACCCATATCTTCCAATTCTTCGACGATGATTACATCAGAGGCAATATTTTTCTTTTCTTTTTTGTTGAAAATGGTAGGCAGAAAAACCCAGTAAGAAAACTATGGTCTACAACAGTTTTGGTAAATTTTGTACCCTTTATTTATTTAGTATAAAAACAAGAAACATTTATTAGGGTTCACTTTTCTTTTTCCTTTTCTCATCAATCATCTTGTAAATCATAAATAAATTAGAAAAAAAAAATCAAATATCTAAACTAATATACTTTATTTTCCATCAGCATACTAATAATTCCAATATATTTTTATCAATTTTCTGCGTCCCAATATGTTAGGGATTCAAGGTTAAAAAAAATATTTCTTTTCAGCTTTAATGTAGTGGGAATATTATGTAGTGTTGATTAAAAAATGTAAACATTAACTTCTAGATATTTATCATTTAATAGAGCGTACTTGGGTTTTAATTAATATTTTTTAAGAGGGTCTTAAGAAATAACAGGACATTGTTAACATTCAACTTGAGCTTGTAAATTGTAACCAATTCAAATGGTTTTGGAGAATATTTGATATTTTATTAATTTTGTTTGAAATGTAAACCCAATTGGATAAGAAAGCAAAGAATTAGAACCCATCTTTCTAATAGTTGGATGGTAATTAATTACCTTTAGATGATAGGCAATAATCGTGAGAACATATTGTGAGCAATTCAAATGACTATTCAGAACATCTGATAATTTTTTTTTTCGTTTGAAATGTAAACCAAAGGCAGAAAGCAAAGTCTTAGATCCCTTCTGTCCAATGGTGAGACTACGATGGCATGTGAAGTACGAAGAAGAAGATTCGAAAGGCTTATCTTTTAAAAGTGGTTCTAAAAATGAATACAAATTGATGACTATTTTAAGATTTTACAAAAGGTTGCTCTTTGTTGGGTTAAAATTTGGAAAAAAATAACTTTTTTATTTTAAAATTTAGTATAATTTAAACATTTGAGTAGTCACTGAAAACATTTTTTTTTAAATAATCAAAGATATTTTCTTTTAAAACTTAAATAAATATACTGAAGTGTGAAAATAGGGTAACACGCACCCAATGATGCGTGTGGGACAGAACCATATAATATGTTTTTTAAATGTGCAGGACAGACAGACGGAACCATATAATATGATTTAATCCTTTTTCTTTCACTTTGACTAACTCACTGCATCAACATTCTTCAAACCATACCCACGTTGTTCTTCTTTCTTCCCTCCATCACTTCAAATGTTCTGTTTCGTCGGTGACCCCATTTTCAATTTGTTTTCTTCTGAAAAAATAAAACAGAGGTAAAAGACATGGATGGAGAAACCAAACAAAGCATTAATGTTGCTAGGTATGAGAATAAATTATTTGGTAGAACAATTCTCTTTTCTTCTTCCTTATCCCTCTCTTCCCGTACTACAAAATCATTTATTCCTCCTTTCACATTGCAACTCAATCTATGATTTCTTTTGTGTGCTATTAGATTAAACCTTTACCATTATGGTAAAATTTAGAATAGCGGTTACTCACTTTACCTCTGCCTCACGTTCTCCGACATTAATAACTGAAATTCTTACCTTTATTACTTTAAAAAACATCATAATAATTCTTGTTGGAAGTACAAACTATAATGCTAACTTTCACTACAACGGGGAAGTAAGAGATAAAAGATAAATAATTAATTTACAATAGCTAATAATTAATATGATGAAAAAAAAAAGGAAAATTGGAGGAAAATATGGGTGTTCATATTATATTTGATATATAAACGTTACTATATTATTACTCCACTTTAAGACAAGCAATTTTGTACAACTCCTCCTGCTTTAAATTTAAAAAAAAAATTAAAATATGGTCCTTTGTTTTTAACCTCTGTTTATTATGAATCACTCAACAGGGAATAATTGATATCCTTACGTCTTGTTTGTATTGAGTCATCTATGTTCAAGAGGAAAGAAAAAAATGACTCAGTAGAAAGCATGACTATTTAATAACAATGTGATGTATTTAGGACAAAGAGTGTTTCACAAATATTTTGTTTTGTTTTCTTCTTAGGCAAAATTTTAAATCAGTCTAAAAATGTTTGTTTTTATCCAAAATCTCTTTGTCCTTTGTATGAAAGTCATTGTGGAAGTAATACTTTGATTTAAAAGAACAATTTTTTTTTCAACATATAATTACGTAGATTTAATATAAAATAGTTACACGAATCTACTAATCTGTTATTTCTGACAGTTTATATAGTTTAAAGTTATTTTTTTAATATTAAAGACGTTTTGATGATTACTACATCAACAAATTAATTATCGTTATTTTCTCTTATTCTTAATTAATCATACATATTTATAAAATTTTCACTTATTTATCTTCTCTTTTTCTTCTGCAAACAATTTTATTTTTTATTATTATTTTTTCTTCTTTTTACTCTTTCTTGCTTTTCATCACTTCGTCCAAACCTAGACTTAATTGTGTTTTATAATTTCATCTCTTCAGTGAATTGGTAGTTTACAACTTCATTTTCGACTTGCATGTTTTATATTTTAAAACTTTAATTTTTATTTTTTTATAATTTATTCTTTTGTCAATACTATGTTAAAATTAATGAAATACAAAAAGAGTATTATTTACTAAAAATATGAGAAAATATCCATATTATTTTATAAAAGTTACAAGAAAAACGAATATCTAATTTAAAATTGGAGAAAATTTAAATTAAAAGAAGTATAGTTTTCTTATTTTATTGAAAAAAAGTATGTATATGTTGAGCGGTGACGTTTTTATGCTTTGATTGTTGGAGAGATAACTTGTGACACATGTTGTCATCCTTCACTGTCTACCCCTGCCTCATATCAAAAGAAGAAGAAAACAAAAACGAAAAATTGAAAAGTAGTTTATATATCAAGTACATTTTGAAAATTTAAAGTATATCAAGATTGATTATTTAATCCATACAAGATTTGGAATGACAAAAATATTCTTTTTTGCTTTGAACTCACTATCTTGGAATCAATCTTGCAACTCTTAATTTAATTTAAAGAAAAATCGAGATCATATGACGTATTATATTGGAACAGCCTAAAGTGATTCTTGTAGAACAAAAAGAAAAAAAGATAGGGTAATATTAGTTGCAGATTATTAACACCGAAAAGAAACCATGTATCCTGATTAGCATAAACAATATGAAGATCTAAGTTTGGAATTGGGGCACATAAACAGAAAGAATCTGAACATCATGACACACATAAAATGGTCATTTAAATGTGGACAAAAAAAATTGGTTGTCCTGTCTTAGTCATAATCTGAATGATTTGAGTTTTGGAATGATAACAAGAAGACATGGAATATGAATCTGCGA